TAACTTTCCTAGCAAAGTGCTTATGAGTGTCTATACTTGCTTTACTGCTGTCCTCTTGGACTTAACCAAATAAAATGAATAATGATATATGATTAATCCTAATTCCAAGTATATATAATATAAATTTTATAAAACATAATATATAATTACATATAACTTGTATGATATATACTAATAATCATGTGCCATGAAGCATTCGTTCTTATTATATATAATTATATATATAATATGAGATTGCTATTATGCAAATTAAAAAATTTCTCCAAAACATATACTTTGCCATATTTATGTCAAATTATAAGATATGTATTTATAAGTAACACCACATGAAAATGTATAATTTGGAAGTCTAACTTTGCTAAATCAATTTCATATCACCACTGTCTTTTATACTTAACTTAGCCTTGTGAGTATTAACTGAATGGATACTCTCTTTGCATTTGGAAATACTTTCAGGGTTTGATTAAAATAAATTAATTGTAATAATTCTGTTTAGGGTATTTAATTTCTATATGCATGTATAACATTATAATTATGCCTTCAACTGTGGGTTTTATCAGTGGTAAAACTGAACAATTTTGGATTTCTAGTTTTACCTTTCAACTTCTTGAATAATTTATAATTTTAAATAAACATTTAGAAATTTCACTAGTGTGCTATTTGCACAAATTTTAAAAATAAAAGAACATGAAATCTGTTACTAAAACATTTACTGTAAAAACTTATCCTTATAAACTGAGGTACCCAGAGATCCAAATACAATATTCGTACTTACAAAGGTATAAATATTGCTTCATAGAAAAATAGAAAGAGCCTAGCAAGATACTGGGAAAATTTAATTTTTCATGTGATAAAATGAAAAAACCATCTCAACTGGCAAAAGTTTCAGGTGTATGGGAGTTAGGTTATGTTCATAACATGTCATGCTTCTGGGTTTTGGTATTAGCTACCAAATAGAAAGTTTTGGAGGAGTTAACACAGTTTTAAAATATTTATTATGACTTTTAAAAAAATGGAATTTCCGTATAATTTATTTTCTTAAACTATAAGGCCCCATTCTTCTTATCTTTCACCTTACATTGGGAAGAATTGAGTTTTTCCTTTTCATAGAACATTCTGAGAGAGAGAGAGCAAAAATAATACATGAACAACCTTTTTGTATTAATTCAAAATTTTCTAAGTGTTGAAGATTTTTGAGCCTCTCTTTATTTATTGGGGGTATATTCATTCCAAAATTTCAGATCCAGGATATTTTTATTTTGAATTCAGAGAACTTTTTACATAAAACCCCGATAGGAGAGGAGACCCATTATTAACTCTTTTATGGAACTTAACAGACTAATTGACTCCCTTCCATTTTTCTCCAACACAAAAATGAGAGTCATATTAGTAGTGTCTCTGCTTCTGGCACATAACACAGATGGCATGTAATTCACTGGACTACAATATAGTCGAGATTTTTCAGAATACACTGACTTTAAAGATATTATAACTGTATTTTTATAAGCATGGTCTACTATATACAAATATATGAGAAAATCTATATAAATCACTTCTATGTTGCATTTTTATTTGCTGAAAGATCTATTTTATAACATAAAAGTGTATTTTCTGAAAGGCCTGATTCCTCTAAGATGATATCCCGTCATTTCCCCATTATATTGTTTCAGGGCTACAAATTGTCATTTTGTTTTGGTTTAAATTACTCCTGTCGCTTCTCAAATGCCTGCTGGCATACCATTAATATTATCAGAAAGTAAATTAAATTTATATGTAGACATCCCTAGATTCAAGGATTCAAATTATACTTTTGGGCCATTGTAATTAGAAGAGGAAAACAATGTGGCTTAAGTGTCTCTAAAACCCTAAAGGATGAGAGGTAATGAAGATCAAGTGGTAGAAACACCTTAAAAAAAGGACTAGATTTGTAAGGGTGTGGCAAATGGAACTTCGAGGGACATTCTTATTGCTATATGGGGAAGCATGCCCAGAATCTGCCCTCATTATGTCTGGCGCTTGCCAGTTCTTTTCAAACCTCAGTTTCATGAGCACCATAAAAACTCACTTAAAATTGAAAAGAACACCCTGAAGTTAAAATCCACTCTGCTTTTCTTTGCCTTTCATGGCTTGGAATGTCACCTTTTACCTCCAGTAAATAAAGCCAACATCAACACTCTTCCGTGTCTTTTATTTTTTATTCACTCAATATTCTTCACATGACAATCTGGACACTTAAAGGGAAATTACAGTGGTGATCTATGTCTTGGCAAAGAGAATTGTCTTTATAATATGTAGTTACAGTGTATCCATCAATTTCTTTTGTTTCTTAGACTGTTCACATTGGATTGAGTAAATCTAAAATAGAATTAAAAGAGACATGATTAATAGTGGACTACAAAGAAATAACGATATCGTAATACTCTCTTAAAATGACCTGACATGCATATCTAAGTAGTATTCCCCAATAGAGACAATTGCACTGTTTTACTGTCTTGCAGGTTATTGTCTCTTTAACCTCACTATTTCCGAGAAGCCACCGAAAAGTTCTAATATGTCACAATTCAAATGTCAACATGTTGTTGGAAAGGAAGCTAATAAGTTAAACCTTTGAGAGATGCCAAAAAAAGAGGTGATTCAAACTGTTGAGAGAAGTCCATTGTTTTCTAAGGGGAAATAGAACTCCAGAATGAAACAGGGTACTTATAAGTATTTAACTGGAAGATTTAGGGGAAAAAAACAAAGTCACACATTATTTTATTATTATTTTAAATCTGGTAATCTTTAAAAAGAACTGTTCTCAGTGTACTTCCAAGGAAAAGAAAATGTGAACGACTAGGGTTAATAGGATACAAACTGCAAATAAACTATTTTTTATAGAAACAGCCCATAACAAGGAATAATTTTCCCAAGATAGTCTGGATTCTATCTGTGGACAAATACGAAGATTCTTAGGTTATATTATAACATATTATAGCAACATTTTATGTTAGCATTGTTTTCTATAAACCAGCTTCAGGCTTATAGTAGTTCAACTACTATTGAATGAAAAAAAATATTCTATTTTGACAGGAAAGAAGCTAAGCAGAAAATACTCATTAAGTTATTTTTCAAATTTAGCACAATTTTGTGCTCTGGTCTTGTTATAGAAAAATAAACAATTGTACTTTAGAGCCACCTACTGGAATAAAGAGGCACGTACAAAGTCTTCTTCTTTCCAAAAGATAAACAGATAAATAAAATTAAAGTATGAGCATTTCTGCTGATCTTATAAGACATCAACTTATGCAGCTCTTCTTAGTTTGAAAAATCAAGTGATGTTGCAAAAAACCATAGTTAACAGTACTATCTCCTAAGAATATATTATTAGAATATGATGGTGGTTGTTGTGATGTTGTTTTGTTTTTTGTGTGTGTGTTTGTATGTGTGTTGCTCAGATATTTAGAATCTGGACTTTTTTGGCTTAATAAGATTGATTCTGGGCTGGGCGCAGTGGCTCACTTGTAATCCTAGGACTTTGGGAGGCCTAGATGGGCAGATTGCTTGAGCCCAGGAGTTCAAGACCAGCCAGAGTAACATGGTGAAATCGCATCTCTACCAAAAAATACAAAAATTAGCTGGGTGTGGTGGTGCACACTGTAGTCCTAGCTACTCAGGCGGCTGAGGTAGTAGGATCACCAGAGCCCAGGGAGGTTGAGGCTGCCATGAGCTGTGATCGTGCCACTGTACCCCAGCCTGGGCGACAGAATGAGACCCTGTCTCAAAAAAAAAAAAAAAAAAAAAGATTGATTGTGTTTGTGGACATTCTCAGTAGGAAGATTGGAGAAAAGACTCATTGGCAATGTTAAAGAGAGAGAAGAATATATGAGGCAAAGGAATAATTTCCTTCTCAGAGTACTGTAGGGTTTTGCAAAGATACTGTGGTATGATATAATTGGTCTCATTTTCAACAGTTAATCGTAGAACTTCATTCTTTCTTCTAAAACCTCTATCTGATTATGGGATTGTTTAATAACCTTAGAATGAAATGAAAAACTAACGACATTTTTTTGGTAGAATGAATAAACATCTAAAAGATTTTCATGCTTAAAAGCCTTTTTAAATGGAAAAAAAAAAAAAAAAAAAAAAAAAAAACCTGGTGCCTGGACAGGTAAATTGGACAATGACTTGCCTAAGTCACCAAGCTGCCCAGGGGAAAAGCAGGTGGCTCTTGGAAATTTCAGGTCAGGGTTCTTTCCATACTTGCTCCATTGCTTTTCAGTCAGTCATTAACAGATTTATTAAATGCTTCCTCCCCTCAGCACTTTGCTAGAAAGCAAGGGAAATAAGCACCACCTCCACCACCCCGATAAATGCATCAATAAAACACGTAATGCCTACTTTCAAAGAGAGAGAATCAGGAGGTGAGCCTGAGGGCAGGACCTGGGTATGGGAGCACCCTTCTGATTGGTGAGAGAGGGGATTAAGTTTTGAGAAAACAAAATACTCTCCTTTGTTGTCATGATCCTTTATGTCATGTCCTTTCAAACGATTACCTTCCAAACACACTGTTGAGAAGGTGCTACTTTTGCAAACTTGCTTAAGTGGGGAAGGGGCAAGGTAAGCTAGGCTACTGCTGGAGAATTCCAGGCAGAATTAAACTCTGTGAGTATGTGTGGTTTGCTAGGGTGTTTTGAGGATTCAGAGAAGGGAAAGTTCTTCGTTAAATATTACACAGGATATATGTGACGCAGCTAGCCTTGCATTAAGAAAATTTTATTTGTGAAGTAGGATTTGGAAAAGATTTGTGAACTGGCTTGAGAGTCACAGCTTTCCATTTGTCACCAGAGGGCTCGTTTTCAGTATATAAAACAGGAAATCACACTTCTTTTGATAAAAAAGAAAAAGATGTTCGTTAAGCTGATGCAAAATGTACAGGTATCTTAGTGTATATCTTGCCCTTTGTTAATATAGATACATCTCTCTCTTTCCTGATTCCATCCCCCTTTATTTTCTCTTTAAAGATATTCTACAGAGTAGTTGCAGACATTGCGCCGGGAGAGGAGCTTCTGCTGTTCATGAAGAGTGAAGACTATCCCCATGAAACTATGGCGCCGGATATCCACGGTTGGTACCACTCACGCCACTCTCCTTATCACCTGATCATTGCAACTATAAAGTAGCATCGAAAGCGTCCATTGTTCTTGGTGTTTGTTAGTTTCCCTGGCTTTTCAATGTCAGTTTTAACAAGTTCCTTCTCTTGAAGCAGCTATTTTCTTGGTTTGACATCTGGCCACTATTACAGTGAAGCTGAAGTAAGCAGAGGTCTTCCTTAAAGTGGAGGTCAAAGGAATTTTGAGTATTTGCGCAGAACTTCACCTAGCTATGCCTTTTGTCAATGCATTAGTCTATGGTGAGGATCCTTTCACTGTGTAGGGGCCTTTCAGAGGCTTGATTTTGAGCTTTCCTAAATCAAGGGAATGTTTCTGTCATCTAATGTTCTATTACTGGGAAAAGTTTCTACTGCAGGAAAATCTTAGCCAATATGACTATATGGGAGGGGTGTCAGGGAAGGGGCCTTGGGAAAAATGTACAGATGAAGAAATTTTAGAGGCAGAGGATTTTTTTTTTTTTTTTTTTTTGAGATGGAGTCTCGCTGTGTCGCCCAGGCTGGAGTGCAGTGGCCGGATCTCAGCTCGCTGCAAGCTCCGCCTCCCGGGTTTACGCCATTCTCCTGCATCAGCATCCCGAGTAGCTGGGACTACAGGCGCCCGCCACCGAGGCAGAGGAATTTTTATTTGCCAGTGGCCTATTCTAAATCAAAAGATAATAAAAAATAATGATCATCAGTAGTGATGCATGTTTAGGTCAGATAAAGAGAAAATTTTGCTTATATTGATTTGTATCATTGAGATGGAAATTTAATATATATTTTTCTTCTTCCTCTTTCTGTCTCCTAGTATAATGTGATTCGGTTCAGCATAATCTAGTGGCATCTTTAGAATATTTTGTAGTTGGAAGTTCCATTGGGAAGGATTACCCATCCCAACCTACCATAGAATCAGGGATCACCACCCTCCATCCCTTTAGCATCCCAGATGGGAAAATCTCAGCTTTTGCTTTTATATCTCCAGGAAGCTGCCACTCTTGGCGGGTTCTCTTTACTTGAACATTTTTTTCCTTTGGACTGCATTCTGCCTCTTTGTAGGTTATACAAGAGTAGTGGTATTTGCAGGGTGGCGGGGAGGGCTGGCGGGGGTGGTGGGGCGGGGCGGGGGGGCACGCTTTTGGTGCTCATTTTCCTCTTAGCAACTCTGACATGCAAATAGCTTTAGAAACCTAGAGTTCCCAATTAGCCTGGTAGAGTTTGAGCCTGAAGGGGGTGACTGGCCCAATGGGAAAGGGCTTTGTGGCAGCAAGGAGTTCTTAGATGATAAAAAACTGCAATCTGGGCTTTCTCTGGTGCAATGAATATTTCATCTGTAAATGTTAGACCTAAAAAGATTTTCAAACAATTGTTTTTTTTAATATTAATGATTAGGTTAATACTCCAAAAGTTCTAAATAGAAACGACTATTCTTTTAGGGCTGCCATTCATAAATTACTTTCCTTTACAACACTCTTGAACCCATCAGTTGCTTCTTGTTTTCAATGTATCATGTTTATATCCATACATACACTACATATGTTACATATATTTCTTATAATATTTAAATGATGATTTGTATTTTATACTTCTAGGATTCAACTCTTCCTAGGAAAGAAAATAAAACACATGCATTGCACACCTACTATATGATAGATATTATATAGTCTCTCTATATTGTCTCATTTACTCTTTTATGCATAGAACCTGTGGGAAAGATATTATATCCATTTTACATATAGGGAAACTGAGCTAATTAGGCTAAGTGAATTGTCCAAGAATGCATGGCTAGTAAGTGGTGGAGTCAGCATTCAACCCAAGATCGTTGCTGTCTCTGATACCTAGGCTTTTTCCATGCATTATGTAGCCTGGAGATTCTGTTTGTGTTCAGACTCTTGGCTGAGGTCCTAAATATAGATCTTAAACATATGAATAGTATTACAAACTATAGGAAATGTTTCTATTAACTAGCTAATGTCATTGAGAATCCTGTCTTTAGAGCCAAGTTGAGTTTTTTTAGAACACCTCCCTCTCTGGACCCTCTAAATCCAAAGACAAACTGTTGAATCTTAAAACACCTCTCTCTCTCGACCCTCTAAATCCAAAGAGAAACTGTTGAATCCACATGGTAATTTCTTTACTTCTCTGTTACCACTGTTACTGGTTTAGTTTAAACTAAACCAGCATCTTATGTGGATTTCTGCAGCAGTGTCTCAATTGGTCTCTCTGCTTGACGTCTCTTGCTGCAACTGGGGAAAATTCTTCTAAAAACCAAGTCTGAATATATCCCTGCTTTCAGACTTTCAGTGGCTGTTTTCCTTCTTAGCATAGATTTACAAAGCCCTTGGTGAGCTGCACCCCCTCCAACTTCGTTTTGCAGTCCTCCCTTACGTGTGCTCTGTGAACCTACCATACCTCACTACAGCCCTACCTTTCTGTGGATGTGCCATCTTTTTTGCCTCCATCACTGGTCTGTTCATGCTGTTCCCATTACCTGAAATGTGCCCCCTCCTTCCACTTCACCTGGCTGATTCTTACTCATTACAGAGCCTTTTCTGAACCTCCTTTCCCCAGATTTGATGGATTAGTCCTATTTCTCTAGGCTCCTTTAAGCCCTATGCTTTCATCTGCCATAAAATATATCACAGTCTCTTTGTTCATATGTATATCCCCTTAAATTTCTTATATATTCATTCCCTAGAAAAATGCCTAACATTTGGTAGGTGACTAAAGTATTCCCCCAAAAACATTCAGTCAATGAACAATTGAAGAGTAACGTCTTCCTTGGCCATAGGTCTATAAAAGAGGGATTATGTGTCATATTGTTTGTCGTGGGTATTTTTTTTATCAGTGTGAGCTGTTTTCAAGACTTCTGTGATTGTACCTGTGTGATTTGTGCAGAGTGTGGCTTTATGAGTGGGCTGAAAGCTATTCAAAAGACAAAAATGGAAACAATACCATCACTACCTGACATTTTATAACCTTGTTGTCGCTACACCCCACTACTACCATTTATTTATCTTATTAATTTAAAGTGCAAATTAATGATATGTTTGCTATTTAACAAAGCTATGCCAATTAGCACTGACCCTGGGGTAACATAAATTAGCCTAGAAGGGTACTAAAAACATCCTGTGTCCCATTTTTAGTGATGATGAATGTTAAACCATTTCCAAGTTTGCTGACATTAACCAGGCTTAAGCATGGGTCAGATACAGACTCTGTGTCCCATGTTCTTTCCAGAGAACCTGGCACTGGCATAATAAGAAGTGTATGAAATAGAAATGGTTTCAAAACCTTACACAACCACATAGCTCTATACTCCCTGACTGTTTACATTTAACTTCTATGAACCTGAAATCCTCATCTGAAAATTAGGATAAAAATCTGACCTATAATTCCTCATAATCAGGTTTTAAGGAATGTCAGTAATCCACATACAGGGTTGAGAAAATATATGACGCTCAGTAAGTCGTATTCATTATTTTTAGTATTCTCTGAACCTGAAAAGATTTAGTCATAAAGTTTTACTGATCAGGAGGATATACTCTAGTCACAGCCATTGCTTATGTTATTGTTCCAGTCTCTCTTCTGGGTTCTTTACATATGATATTTCTAATCCACATTAAAATCGACATGATAGAAATGACAATCAAATAATACCTCTTACATCTTATAAAATTTGGTAAGATTGGCTCTTTTGTGATGGCAACTCCTGACCACCCAATCCTAGTAACACCTGAATTGTTTTCACAGAAGAACGGCAATATCGCTGTGAAGACTGTGACCAGCTCTTTGAATCTAAGGCTGAACTAGCAGATCACCAAAAGTTTCCGTGCAGTACTCCTCACTCAGCATTTTCAATGGTTGAAGAGGACTTTCAGCAAAAACTCGAAAGTGAGAATGATCTCCAAGAGATACACACGATCCAGGAGTGTAAGGAATGTGACCAAGTTTTTCCTGATTTGCAAAGGTTAGAAATGGCATGTTGTACCACAAAACTTGTGTATTTATTCTGCAATGTTATGCTGAATTTTGAGGCTTTGTGCAGATGGAAAATTTGGAACTCCAAAAAGCTGGACAAATGCACTCGTGACATGTTCAGAAATCATATTTGCCTGGATATTCTCATCTGTCAAATATTTACAGTGAAATTGGAATTAGTTATTTTGATGTCACATGAAAAATAATGTTATATTATTATTAAATAGTGTTATTAAAAACTGAAGGCTTAACTTTATAGTAAATTACGATTTAGAGTAAGTATAAAGAGTGCTGGAACAAATTAAAGTAATCATATGTCAAGAAACAATAAAGCTGCCCCTAGAAACATTCAGACAGTTTTTGAAAGGACTAGATCTGGCATTCACTTAATGACACGTAAATGATCTTTTGATAGAGCAGTAATTCATAGATTTAATTTCAACAATTTATCTAAATTGCATATATATAAAAGAATAAGAGAAGCTTGTTTGATTTCCCAAAGTGTTGAATTTCCTAAAAGGTAAAAGAGAAACACAATTATGTAAATGAGGTAATCTTTAACACTTATTTTTAATACAATGAAAATCATATTTCAGTGACATATTAACTTGTTATAGCCTTTTGAATTTTATTCTATAACTTTTTAAAATTGCTGATAACAACACTAGAACCTACTTTTTGAAAAGTATATACTAATTGTACTACAGAATGGTCTTTAAGATCAGAACAGTTTAGAACAGTTAATGGATCTTTTTGTTTGTTTCTACCTAATGATTTTTGCCTTGGTCCACAAATAATTTTAATAATTGTATTCATTTACTTTGCTTTTAAATCTGGAAATTATCCTTGAAACCTGTAATCAGAATTTTAAATGCATATCACATTATATTTAAATGGGAATGGTAGTATATCAAATGGCCTTACTCAAGAATGGGAATTACTCAGACTTTGTCTTTGACAGTTCACCTTCAGTTTACCCTTTTGATTCCTTTCCTTCTTTCCTGAATCCTTTTATTCCTCTCATTTTCACCTCACGTGTTGCCCTACATCCTCTTCTCTTGGTTACACCTCTTTTAGGAAAGGATTTCATCTAGTAGTTGTTCACTTTAAGGTATAAATGACTAAAAGGCATTAAGCATAATCCTTTCTGTTGAGAAGATTGAATAGAAAGAATAAATATCTAGCTTTGAAAATTTAGGACTAATTTAGTTATTAGAGAGTAAACATTTTATGGAATAAGAGGGCTTTCCCAGAACCTTTTAAACTCACTTCTGCCACTTCATATAAATCTTCATAGAGAATAAATCAATTATATATGTTTAGCAAAGTGTGGATTTGTAATAAAAAAAAAAGCATGTCCCCTTAATATAATTGTGCCCAAATTAAAAAAAAATGAAGCTGATAAACACAAATGAGTAGGAAAATATTTATTCTGTAAAGTAATATCTCTGGTGTCAGAAATAAAGTTGATTTCCTTCAGTTGTATTGTAAAAAATAATGAATGGCATTATAAAGCAAAAATTGACAAACTAAACACTAAAATGTATTTCTTACTTCCTACTAAGAGTATACAGCAATACTTCTTGGGTGGAGAAAGCCTCTTAATCTGCCTTGCTGTAAGATTAAGCCTGAGTCAACTCTATATAATGCTGAAACCAACTGTTAGTTTAGTTAATTCAGTCAAACATTTAGTAGAAAACAATAAGGAAATCTAATTATCTAGCATTGTGTGAATTCTCAACATTTATATTTTGGCAGCCCAGCCATATGGATAAAGCACGTCACTATGCAATTGGATACTAATCATCCAACTGGTATTTTTGGTTATAAATTATATAATCTAGCCACATTCAGAACCTTTATTTTCTGAATATTTTTTACTTTATTGAATGCTGTGTTGTCACTTTATACTTTAAATGATGAAAATTACTTTCTGGTCATGATCTATTCTTCTGCTGTCTATCCTTTATGTAAAATCTTGAGAAAAGAATGCAAACAAAAAAATAGGAGCAAGAAAGAAACAAAGGATGATGTGCAAAAGATGAAAAGAGCTGGAAAGAACTCAAAAGGCTGATCAAGGCTCTATAGATTGGGATAAAATTCCATGAAAAGTAGAGAAGTCTCACTGACTGACTGGATTGCTTCTATGTTTATGAAAGCAATGCACATTTACTTTTGTGAAAGTGACTTGCTTTTTTTGTGCTTTTTATTACTGATTAGCTGGAAGCTAATAATACTATGGGACAACATGGAGTTTCTGCTCGATTAGGAGAAGCAAAGAAGGGAAAATTCCTTTTGCTTTGTTATCTTTTTACCCCTACATGCCATATACTTATAATATACTCTTAAAATTAAGCCATATCCTTGGAATTAGGGGGAGGAATAAAACTCAACATATAGGCCAATCTTTTGCCACTAGATTTCAGGGTTTATGATTTGATATATAGTGTAGTGGCATATATATCATACAATGGCTTGCCTTTATGGGTTGCTGGGGACGGACAGTGAGAACTGCAATCTGTACAGTGATTTTGGAGGATGTCCCTGACTCATTTCAATGTTAACGACAGTTGTTGGTATCTCTTTTATTAACATTCCACTCTGTAACAAACAGAGGATTACATATTGTAGATAAAGGTAGGGGTTTTCTTATGACTCCACATACCTGTACTCTCCTAGTACCTTTTGTTCACAGAGATATCACCATCCGTGCTCAGAATAGCATTTCCAACTCAATTGATTCATGGGGCAGGAAAAATGAGTTCTTGTGCCAGTATGAATAGAGTGTGGGGAGGAAGCTGAGAAAGAGAAAATGTGTAGGAAATGCATTTCTAATTTACCAAGATATGAGAATGGGCACCATTTTCTTACATATACTCCCACTCACACAGTCTGTATGACCACTGGATAATTTATTCTAGGTGCGCAAAGGTCTTAATTGGTACTGATAGTTATAGTATTCATCCCACAAAGAAATAAAAGAAAATAAAAGAATGCTTTCCTGGTTGGTACTTTTTCTTTTCTAAATAACTTTTTTATTGTGGAGCACTTAAAATATACACAAAACTAGAGAGGGGATAGTATTTTTAAAATCCCATATGTTAAGCTTTAATAATTATCACATGAAGTCAATCTTGTCACTATACCTGCTTTAAATTATTTGAAACAAATCCTGGACATTATATCGTCTTATTCAAAAATAGTTTAGTATGTATCTATAGAAAGTAAGGACTCCTTAAATACATAAGTTCAATACCACATTAAAAATAATTTCTTGCCAGGCGCGGTGGCTCACGCCTGTAATCCCAGCACTTTGGGAGGCCGAGGCGGGCGAATCACAAGGTCAGGAGATCGAGACCACGGTGAAACCTCGTCTCTACTAAAAATACAGAAAAAAAAAAAAAAAATTAGCCGGGCGCGGTGGCAGGCGCCTGTAGTCCCAGCTACTCAGGAGGCTGAGGCAGGAGAATGGCGTGATCCCGGGAGGCGGAGCTTGCAGTGAGCGGAGATCGTACTACTGCACTCTGGCCTGGAGAACAGAGCGAGACTCCGTCTCAAAAAAAAAAAAAAAAAATTCTTAATATTAACAAATATTCAGTAAGAGCACAAATTTCATCAGTTAGAAAGCTTAGTGTTTTGTTTGAACAAAGATCAAAATAATAGCAATTGATTGGCAAGTCTGTTATGACTATTTGAATCTAAAGGTTCCCTCAGAGGGCAGTCTCTCTCTCTGTGTCTCTGTCTCTGTCTCTGTTTGTCTCTCTCTCCACCCCCTTCTTTCTCTTATTACAATTTATTTATAGAAAATTATAGAAGAAACCAAGTTGTTTTATTGTAGTGCTTCCTCCAGTCTGGATTCTGCTGTTTATATCATTGTGGTGTTAACATCTTTCTCCATTCCCTCTAATTTCCTGTAGACTTGTAGTTATATCCCAAGCTTTCGTTGGGATTTACGCTCAGTGTTTCAGCAAGAAGATTTCATTGATGGTGTCATTTATTTCTACCCGAAGTCACATAATGGATTGCCGGATTCATTAATTCTTTAGGAGCCTCAAAACGAATGTATTCTAACTCTATCATTGTCTCATCATTTATTATCTGGATTAATTTTGCATAGAGAACCTTCCCTTCATAGCCTATTTGTTTACCCCGAAGTGCAGTTCACATAGGAAAAGCAGATATGTGCACAAATATTTTCCGTTTATTTACCAGTTTTAAGAATAACGATTTGACTTTCCTACATCTTCCTTGGGTGACCAGTGAGGTTCTGTTTGTGTTTTGAATATCATTATTGATAAAAGAGTTGCCGTTCTTATTGATGCTTCACTTGCTCCACCTTTGGTCAGTGGGCATCTCTTCAAGTTGGAACCCTAATTTTTTGGACATTATCTATAAATTTCTTGCCTTTTGTCATAACAAGATGTTCAGGGGCCATCTTGTGAATTTCATACTTCGGATTTGAAATAGGCAATTTTACCATGGAGCTCTGGTTGTTTTATTTGAGGGTAGTATCCCAGTGTGTTATGTGTGTATGTATTTAATTAATAAAGGTGTTGCAGACATCTTCTATCACAGTAATCCATTATCTATAATATTTGCTTTTCATTATATTCATGCAGATTTCATATACAAATTTTAGAAAATGGAGGCAAACATTTGAGAAGATAAAACATTTTAAACTTTAAAACAGAGAAACTATGCTTGTGAGAAACTTCTAATCATGTTTTTCTTTTAGGGGGCTTAAATGCTGCACCAACTTAAAATATTACACTCTTTTTTCCCCCAGTTCTTAGGTTTTGTATGTTATGTGTGTATACATAGATATATATGTGTGTGTATACACATACACACACACACACATCCATGCATCAATCCATCCATCCATCCATCCATCCGTCCATCCTAGGTTCACTAGAGATTATATACATTAGACAGAATACTTGCCTATGTATTATTAAGCATTTTGTGTTTGAGTGTTTATGTTTCAATTAAGTGAGTATTAGCAATACGTGTTGCTGTTAGAATTGTGTAGTGAATCCAAAACTGGACAAATAGCTTGTTGTTTATCATGCTCTTAAATCGGCAGATAATCCCTGCCAGCTGTATCAGATTTATTTTCTAACAACAAGAGCACATCTTCATATTGGTGACACAGTCCAGGAGACACAGTCCGGGAAACATAAAATGCACTTTCGTCTGTCACAAGCCTGTTTCTGCTCTTTCCTCCTTCTCAGTTCAACTCCTTTTCCTTCTTATTTCTTTAATTGTCAGTTGGATTAGCAATCAAATGATGTTCTGTTTATGAATGCCTCCTTTGTCTTTTAAAATCTGTTGTTCTCTTAACAGCCTGGAGAAACACATGCTGTCACATACTGAAGAGAGGGAATACAAGTGTGATCAGTGTCCCAAGGCATTTAACTGGAAGTCCAATTTAATTCGCCACCAGATGTCACATGACAGTGGAAAGCACTATGAATGTGAAAACTGTGCCAAGGTACAGTGAATTTGTAGGCTACTTGGCCTCTCTCTGTCGTCCTGCTCTCTCTTAATCCATCACTTGCTACGATATATAAAAACAAGCCTTCAGAGGGGAAACTATAAATATCTTGAGAAAAGTACACTGAGTGTTGTATGCGAAAAGGCATTAGTAGAGTGTATAAAAACACTTAGTGGGTATCCTTTTATTTTTGTAAGGGAGGAAGTGAGGCTTAATGGTGAGCTCCAGAACTAGGTGTCAGACATCCTTGGTAAATTCCTGGTTCCGCTACTGATTTGCCAGCGTGGAGTTGTTTTATGGCCTTGTGGAGAATGAAAATTTTATCCAATTCATGTTACTGATTGCTTTTAATAGCAATTTGTGAGGAAGTCACATAAAATTTCTGAATGCCTATTCAGAAAGAATGGGTGACTCTTACATTTGCAGATTTTTCCAACCAAGGGCTCACCGTAAATTATGACTTGGTTCTAATTAAAATGTGTAGAGCCTCTGTCAGTGCTGAACAACATAAGGATGATATGGAAGTGCTCAACTTAGACCATAACTGTGAACTATGGTAAAAGTAATTCACTTCTTTTAATTTCATGTTTCTTAATTAACTCAAAGATGTCCTGGTGTCATTAAAGTTGCTTTCTATTTCCAAAACACATTTCCTAGCATTTTAATAGCTTTTTTTTATGCCAATGGAAATTTCTGTACCCCACCAGGTTACTGGGTAATCATTCTCCTGTGATTACCCTGTTCTGTGCACATTAAAATTTCGTATGTTTTTTCCTCATAAAAAATTAAAGACATTTGAAATTTCTTTAGGGATGTTTCTCAGATGTGTTGAGTGGCTTTTTTATTTTTGTTTTTAGTACAATGTCTAAAGGAATGGTTTTAGCTTGCTGGTAAGTCACTGAAAGAGTGTTAGAATTTAACACCTTAGGGAAACTCTTTAAATAGATTTAAGGTATGTTAGTCAAAATCCTCCAAATTTTTGTACACAATGTGTCTTTACTTAAAGGGTGAAAAAAGCACACAAGTTTTAATAATGGCATAACCAGCATTTTATTACTTAACTCAAGTCACTCTAAGTGGTATCAAAAAGGGTCTTGAATAAGGCCTAATGGTGCCATTCATTATTTGCTCAACTGATACCTGTGGATACACCATGCTAAGGATATAGAGCAGAATAATTTACAGTTCCTACCCTAGAGGAGAGTATATTTTGGAAATTGGAGGAGAGTACACTTTTGGTCTTTGGGGTAAAGAAAAACAAAACAAATAAGCAAAGTTTCTTCTTGAGTCATCCCGGGTCTTCTTTATTGTCCCCTTGAGTTAAGTTTCTTGATTAATCAGTACTCATTTCCTAGCAGGTTTTCACGGACCCTAGCAACCTTCAGCGGCACATTCGCTCTCAGCATGTCGGTGCCCGGGCCCATGCATGCCCGGAGTGTGGCAAAACGTTTGCCACTTCGTCGGGCCTCAAACAACACAAGCACATCCACAGCAGTGTGAAGCCCTTTATCTGTAAGTTTTCAACACTCCAGCCCTCCTTCCCACATCTGTCTCTCCTCCAAAAGGCACTGTGACCAGGAGAGTGACTGCACATGGCCTTGAGAGGGTCACTGTGTTAGCTATTCATGGTCCAATACAGTAGGGCTATTTATGATTACAAGTAAATCTTTTATAATCAGATCCATGGTATTTTGTCCTTGATTCCTGGGGTGTTTTCTTTTAGAAGAAATCAATAACAGGTAGAGGAAAGAAAAGTCATTAGATAATCAAAGGGAAATCTTTCAGGTTGTAGGATTTAATCAGGACAATCAGATTTGTCTCATATCGTAAATGTTCATGGCTTTGTAAAGCAGCAAATAGCAGACATCACTAAATAAGATGAAGTGATTAAAAACCTGTTCTGGAACAGAAAGAGCTGGAAGAACCCCACCTGGGAAGTGGGCTTACGGCTCTGTGTGCATGTATGTGAGTATATGTGTGTGGAGAGAGCAAGGGGGATGAATTGCTTTTTAATCTACCCATTGTTGCCGATCACAGGCTGTCGGACCTGTAGTTCTCTGTTACTTGAAGAAAAGCAGAACATTTTCACTTAGATGCTGGACATGCTGTTTCTCCTACCCACTGCACCAAAGCAAGTTTATAGGCAATGTGCTTTTAGGGGACATCTGATCTGACCACCTACTTAGAACATCCCTGTACAGAGCACTGTAGTAACATCTTTCAGATACAATAAAACTCAGCTCTCATTTGCTTTTTCTTCTGTCCACCCACTCGTATTCTCTGTATTGTGCTCAAATATTTTTTAAGTAAAATTAGTTGTTCTTAGTCTACCTGGGCAAAAATTCTGGGCTGCTTTGATTCCATGGCTTGACTGGACATATAAATACAATGACTTATTGAGTTGTGCTACAAACTTCAAGACTGATTTTGGACCCAGATACACATAGAATTGGTAGAAGCATACTCAGCACTTGGCAAGACCTCTGACTTTGGTTTGTAATAGGTATATGAGACACTACTACAGGACCTGATGGAAAAAACTAATTTTCAGTGCCAACATGGAGATGCCAGAGACTAACTCTGCTTTGCCTTGACACAGCCTTCTTTTGTGTGTCCAAGCACCAAAAGAGCTTTTCTTTCCTTTTCCAGCTTACACTAGAGTCCTGTTTTGCTCATATGTTCTTCTGTTCCCCGGGTGAAGAGGACTAGCAGATAAACAAAAGGGTGCTCTCGTCTCCCTTGGGGAAGCTCTGTTGAAGGTCACAGGAAATAAAGCATTCAATAGAAATTTTAGACTTCTTGTCTCAAAAAGGCATTCCTGACTCTTAAGTCTTAATGCCCTGAAAATGTACTTGGAAGTACTACAGGCATACGATATTAAATAGTTCATTTATTTCTGATTCCTCAGAAATAAATTTTGGTAAGTTTTATTATGTTTTGATGTGAAAAAAACTAGAATAAACCACAAAGAATTCTGATCACTCATTTAATGCTTTCTCTATTATTTAAAATAAAAGTCAGAAAATATAGACTTCTACTCTCGAAGATTCTGGGATCTGGAATTTTAATTGTGTTGAAGACAAGTGTTTCACTTTAAAGTGTCACAGGGTGTCCCTTTCCAATCAGATTGCATAAAGTATTTCCCTTGAATGATTTTCGGTAATTATTGGTAAATTTAAATAGCAGATGGCATTTTGTAAAATTTAAAATCTTACAGAGAACCATGGAGTAATTATGAATAATAGCCATGTAATTTCAGAACAAAAGAGTTTAAAGATCAGGAAATGGTGCGGAGACTTGAGTGAAGGAGGTTCACCTAGGGCTGATATCTGTTTCTCACCAGAAGGCCACACACCACGATTTACCCCCACTGGTGTGTTTATGGCAACTGTCTCTTATTACAGTGTGCTGCCACGCTTGAGCCCAAAGTTACCAGTGCTAAGGTAATTACTCACTGCCTTTACAGAAACCTCCAGCTTTCCCAAATAGAAACCACATGCTCTAATAGGCTGAATATATTCAAAATGCCTCTTAATTTGTTTAATAAGTAGAAAAATGCATTGTTAACTGCTGGCTAATTCCTTATTACTGAGAAAATTACAGTAGAGTACAGACTTCAACATCAATTGAACCAGTTTACCTGGAGGCCTGGTAGTTTGTAGTGTGCCAGGCCCGTCCTTCAAGTGCTGAAAACAAAGCCTCTGCCTAAGAAAACATCCCAGATTCAATGTTCTTGAGCCCAGACACAGACACCACTCAGCCATGTAACAAAGGGTGCCACCAGAAAAGTCAGCTGAACTTCTGTTACTCCAATAGAGAGAAGCTCTTGATTTTTTTAAAGCCATCTGATTGTAAGAAAGAAGTGTAGAGAGCAACATTTCCTTGCCAATAAATGACAAGCCTTTGAAAAACCTATGTCTTGGTTGAATATTTATCAAGACATTTTTTCAATGCCTTTTAAGAGGTGTTGCTTTCGTACTTTTTATAATTCCAATGATAAAATGTTGTTATTGCTTGTAGCTGAATTATTCTAATATATCTAGTGCGTGTCTGATGTTTCTACCTTCTCCGTGATATGATTTTAATTAGTGTATCAAACAAGTTAGATGTCTATTTATGGTGTGTGGTTAAATCGTATATACTTTTAAAGCCGACTCTGGTCAATATATTCTGGTAAAATAATTTGAAAAGATGTCACCCACATCTATTCCCATTAAAATGCATGTTATAGCCTCTATAATGTGATTCATCCCACAATTGAAGGCACCTTTAATATTATCAAACGCATTGATATGTGCAACAATACAGTTTAACATTTAGTAGTAAAAGAAAGAGATATACCCTCACTTAGTACTTCTTGTTTGGATGTATGTGGGATAATCCAAGTTCTGGGTGAGTTTTGCTTGACTGAAAGTTTATAAAATCTCCTTGGCATGGGTTTTTTTTGTTTTTTTGTTTTAATTATTATTGCTTTGACTTAGAAGCACAACCATTCTGCACTTAAAGGCAGCCATTGTATGAAAGCAGTAAGTGTAGCATTTTGTCTTCATTTAATTTCTTAAAATAAATTTGTTTCGACAATTACCAACAAGGTACATCTTGTTTCTGCATGTATTGAACATGCACAGAAATGTTAAAGTAAGCTCACACATAACGTGGCTCAATCCCATAAAGTAAAATAAAAAAATATGATGCTCGGGGTACTGATACTGTAATCCTGCTGTACCATGAAGTGAGTGAGGAATTTTACCTGGTAAAGGAGTTATTAAGGTTTGCAAAGTTTGGTCTTAAAATACACTTGGCTATAGTATATGGCACATGTGTGAGGAGGGAGATTCTACTTTACTGGCAAATTCTTAGTGAAGAGACATATTTCACAGCTGCACCCAGTGCTGTGCCCTTCTTTCTGGATTAGAGCTTTCACAGTGCTCTCCCCTACTGACCATAGCTGGCTATCACACACTGGAGTCAAACGTGAGATGATAACCAGTGTAGATATGACAACAAGTGGACATGTTTCCCAAGGACGGGGGTTTCATAAATGCAGGAAGGTTAGCGCAACCACTGGTGTGAGGGGAAGTCAGAGGACGTGATCATAGTTCATGGGAACCAGCAATGCAGGATGGGCTACATTCAATTTAGTTTCCTTTGCAGGCTTAAAATAGAGCCATTGTAAATTATGTCAGTCTTTCTCAAATCATGAAAATGATTGTTAAAAAAAGTCTCAGAATACACAATGTGCATTGTTGTGTGGCTTTGATGTGTGAATGATGAGAGCATATGATATAATACCAATTAAATCATAGCAGGGCAGTCACAGGCTTTTTCCCCAAGGGGAAAGGCAATAAAGGTGAAGTTTCTGGTTGAGGATGTTTTATTTTGTTTTGGTGCCTACCAAATAGAATTTTTAAGTACTCTAAAATTTGAACGGGGTTCTTGTTATGTTTCAGACGTAATACATTTTAAGACTTTAATTCTCAACATTATATTAGTATAATGATTGTGTGGAGAATCAATGCATGATGGAATTTAACTCTCCATAAATATTTAAATACACAAATATTATGCAAAATATCGCACAATGGGGGTGACAAAATATATATACCTATATATATATGAAATGTTTGTGCTGCCCCAAGACATTTGCCAGGTTGGTTGCCTTGCTTTGGAATCTAGTGAAATGGGGTTTTCTGTGTTTGGAGCACCCAGATTGGTGCCTCCAATGTCTTTTACTAGCTTCCTCATTGAAATTTTGAGTAAACCAATTGTGATATTTGCTAAATTCAGAAGCAATTGACGTAAAGCCTGAGATTGTTTTTTGTTGTTTGCACACAGGTGAGGTCTGCCATAAATCCTATACTCAGTTTTCAAACCTTTGCCGTCATAAGCGCATGCATGCTGATTGCAGAACCCAAATCAAGTGCAAAGACTGTGGACAAATGTTCAGCACTACGTCTTCCTTAAATAAACACAGGAGGTTTTGTGAGGGCAAGAACCATTTTGCGGCAGGTGGATTTTTTGGCCAAGGCATTTCACTTCCTGGAACCCCAGCTATGGATAAAACGTCCATGGTTAATATGAGTCATGCCAACCCGGGCCTTGCTGACTATTTTGGCGCCAATAGGCATCCTGCTGGTCTTACCTTTCCAACAGCTCCTGGATTTTCTTTTAGCTTCCCTGGTCTGTTTCCTTCCGGCTTGTACCACAGGCCTCCTTTGATACCTGCTAGTTCTCCTGTTAAAGGACTATCAAGTACTGAACAGACAAACAAAAGTCAAAGTCCCCTCATGACACATCCTCAGATACTGCCAGCTACACAGGATATTTTGAAGGCACTATCTAAACACCCATCTGTAGGGGACAATAAGCCAGTGGAGCTCCAGCCCGAGAGGTCCTCTGAAGAGAGGCCCCTTGAGAAAATCAGTGACCAGTCAGAGAGTAGTGACCTTGATGATGTCAGTACACCAAGTGGCAGTGACCTGGAAACAACCTCGGGCTCTGATCTGGAAAGTGACATTGAAAGTGATAAAGAGAAATTTAAAGAAAATGGTAAAATGTTCAAAGACAAAGTAAGCCCTCTTCAGAATCTGGCTTCAATAAATAATAAGAAAGAATACAGCAATCATTCCATTTTCTCACCATCTTTAGAGGAGCAGACTGCGGTGTCAGGAGCTGTGAATGATTCTATAAAGGCTATTGCTTCTATTGCTGAAAAATACTTTGGTTCAACAGGACTGGTGGGGCTGCAAGACAAAAAAGTTGGAGCTTTACCTTACCCTTCCATGTTTCCCCTCCCGTTTTTTCCAGCATTCTCTCAATCAATGTACCCATTTCCTGATAGAGACTTGAGATCGTTACCTTTGAAAATGGAACCCCAATCACCAGGTGAAGTAAAGAAACTGCAGAAGGGCAGCTCTGAGTCCCCCTTTGATCTCACCACTAAACGAAAAGATGAGAAGCCCTTGACTCCAGTCCCCTCCAAGCCTCCAGTGACGCCTGCCACAAGCCAAGACCAGCCCCTGGATCTAAGTATGGGCAGTAGGAGTAGAGCCAGTGGGACAAAGTTGACTGAGCCTCGAAAAAACCACGTGTTTGGGGAAAAAAAAGGAAGCAATGTCGAATCAAGACCTGCTTCAGATGGTTCCTTGCAGCATGCAAGACCCACTCCTTTCTTTATGGACCCTATTTACAGGTAAGCGTGTATGGGAGATGACAAAATATGAACAGATGTATGAAAGGTGTTATTTACACTGTAAAGTGATGGCTTTTTAACACGTCATTTTTACTATTATTATAAAACAGAGTGAAGTTGTTTGATCTAGTGAACTCATTTTTTTATTCTGAAAGTTGGATCATTCTGTTTGAACGTATTTTTAGATGTTTCTGAAGTTGGGGGTTTGGAATAGGACTACAGAATTTTTTTCCCTTGACAATAAATTTATTTTTAAACACTTTATTTGGAGTGGAAAATATGGGAAAATCATATTTAAAGTAAATTGTCAAGTGGCGGAAGAATGAGGATCCTGAGGGATTAATGCAAATATGCGTGGGTACTAAAATGGGTCAGGTTCTTTGGAATACGGGAGGATACATAACAGCAAGAGTCCACTCTTTGTTAACCTACCAACACATCCTTAATAAGGGCTGGTCGTATTGTTTCTAAATAAATCTCTCAGGAGTCCCCAGGTAAATGAAATATTAATCACGGAGTATGTTTTCTACATAATATGAGTAGTTGGCATAAAAAAAAGTCTCTGTTTAATAGCTTCATTATCCGGTTTCCTTTGATGTAGCAAAAAAGTCTTGGGGTGAAACATACAAGTTTAATAAAAGATCTTTTTGGCAATATTCAGTAATATTCACTTGACCAAAGTGATTTAGTTTTAAAATACTAGTTTTCTTTAAATGGGTATGAATAATATGTTTGTTACATATTTTGAATATTACAAACATTTTCATATTTACTTTCTCATTCTAATCTTGAACATTGTCAAGAGTTCATGGAACATGTGGATAACTTTTTATTGAACTTATCTAACATTGGAGTATTTTCATATTTTGCCTAATTCTCTTTCGTGAAGAGGAAGCGTGCTATTATTTAATTCAACAGTATTTATCAAGTTAATATTACTTAATAGGTACTAGAGCTGCAAGTTCTTCTCACTTAAAACTCTTCTTCTATGTATATTATCTACAATGCATTATTAACAAGGAAACACTGTCAGTGTGGAAAGGACTACCCTCATTTGAATATGATAAAGTATTATCAAAGGACAATACACAATATCTCAGTCCTGTCAGTACCAATTTTGGTTACTCTTTAAAATTATTATATCTTAATTCCTTTGACAGTCCTGTTACTAGAGAAGGAAAAAAAAGACAAACATGTCTTCCGTATTTTGTGTGTAGATTGTATGTCACACATTTCGGGTCAGGTCATATTTCCAACTCAGTGATGTGTCTCAGTCCTTTGTTAAGATAATTTTTCAGACTTTCCTTTTTATACCCTCTCAATAGCAACTGGCTTCCAATTCTTCCACACATCTCTTGCACTCATCCTCATCACCTACTAGCATTCTTCTTACTCACTGTGATCTCCAACATCTCTCTGGTGCTTGTCTCAATTAAGACCTAGGCCTGTCATTTTGCCAAACTCATGAAAGACCTAGAACCCAGTTTTAGTGGCAGACTTGAGTTGAAATCTCAGCCTTCTCATGTCTGAGACTTTAAACAAATCCATAAAATGGCTATAACATCACCTACTTCAATAAGTGAAATAATATATGCAACACACATATATCACATATATAATATCAATAAGTGGTAGCTATTTTATTCTGCTTTAAGAGTGCATACATCTAAAAGTATTTTTAATTACCAAGTTGGTAAAAGGAATTAATTCAACATAGATATATTATTTCCCTATATGCTTAATACAAAATAGGATGGCAAACATTTCTAAAGCAGAAGGGATATATAGGTAAGTTTTATGTGTCTCTCTCTATCTTCAGAAAGCTCCCCATTCTCTTCTCACCACACCCATCCTATCTGCCTGCCTTCTTTATCAGCAGTGGCATCCAAAGAGCATATATGCTCTCTCTCTGAATATATATTAAATATAATTTACATAAAATATTTATATATTAATATATTATGCTATACATTTAAATATAAATATATATTGAGAGAGAGAGAGAACCTCAAAGAGTGGCTAGCAGTGTATATGCTTGGAAATGCCCTTACTATTATTGACAAATATGGAAGGAATAGAGTGCATATTTGCGAGAACACCTTCTTGGTAGAAAATGGCTCTAGTATTCAAAATCAGCCTTGACCTCATGATTTCAAAATCATCAAGCATTCTTGTCTACATTTGGAGTGGAAAGGTGCTGAATTTGTGACAGATGCCTCTAATTTAGTGACTCCTCATTTTTCACATTTTCTCATTATTCTTATTCCTAGTCATTCAGTAGGGTTTTTCCATTATAAATAGGATCCTCTCTCCTTAAGTACCTGGGAGTGTCACGAGTAATCTCCAAGAACTGGACAGATGTCTTTAGATTTTTATGAGTGTGCTTCCCAGAAACCTACCGTTGGCTTTATTGTTAGATGCTTTACATGTCAGTGATTATGCAGTGATTGATATGTGAAACGGATTCATCTCCAAAATCTAATTTTAACCTTTCAGAGTAGAGAAAAGAAAACTAACTGACCCACTTGAAGCTTTAAAAGAGAAATACTTGAGGCCTTCTCCAGGATTCTTGTTTCACCCACAAGTAAGTATTTCAGATTTGAGATTTCCAGCTTGTAAAGTAACTTGTTGATCCTGAAAAACAGGTGCAATGAAATGAAAGACATCTTGAGAACATTAGGATTTCCTATGACGCTGGTGTGGAAGAACACAGGAAATTCTAGCAGAATTAAAACCCAAGCTCTTTAAAGAAAAATTAGTTAATATATGTGTAAAGATAACATGGTTCCAGTGCTAAATGATTGTCTGCTATTAACTGTTTATTGAGTTAAAGTGCATTTTGGAGTGAGCAGGACTCAGTTAAGAAAATAAATATCCAAGGTGTGCTTTGTGTGTGGTGGTTGCTAATACTGAGAAATAGATCATACTGTGACTCGTCCCAAACTCGTGAAGGTCATTCTTGTTCTTTTAGAGCTTAGATAAAAACAGGAAATGAGTCTACCTGACAAGTTGTTACCACAGAGGGTGAAGGAATTTATCTAGAGACCACTGAGCATTCCAGCAAAGCTCTGTAATTGCACAAGAATTCACCACAATGCAAAGTGCTATTTGCTGAATAGAGTTGTGTTCATTTATCAAAATTTATACAGTCTATCATTGCAAGGAAAATACAAAGCAGTACTATCTCTGATTGGTTCATCCTAAAGTCCTTATACATTTAGTAATTTTAAAAAATGGGTTTACGTATCAACCACCATCTGGAAAATCATACTGAAAGAACAAATACGGTATATAAACATCTTGAATATAGTTTCTTAATTTAAAATTTATTTTACTTTTGTTTAAAGGATGCAAACTCTGGTCTTTATAGAAAGCAGCATTTTAATGAAACTTCTTAAAAACAGAGTAAACTAATTTGTTTTGTTGCAATATGTTCAAACAAAAAATGATGGTTCTCTAATAAAATCGGGGGAGTTTATGCCAGCTGTCTTATGGAGAGCTATGAGGCAATTAAATTAATTAAATAAAGATAATGGGATATGATTCTTTTTTCCTTTTCCTTTCTGTTACCTCTTTTACACTTTTTCAAGTATCTTTCCAGAGTCCTGAATAAAGAGTATGAGAGGTGTAACACAATCTTCTGGGTCAGTTGGATAAATCTACTATTGCTAAAGAACGCTCACTCCCTTTCAAAATGAGATAATATATGGTTTAGCAGTAAAAGTTTTAGAAACATTCCAGTTAGTATTAATTTTATATAGGAAGATTAAAGAATGTTATTCACATAATTACTTTATGGAAAAGAAGTAAGTTATAAAACAGTTAATGTTTATCAGGACTATATTTTATATTTAGACTGATCTAAGTAGTACTTGTAAGGTTTCGTAGGCTAATAAACTGGAATGTAGACCATATTTTGTGTCAGATGTTGTACAAAAAGTACATCTCCCCTGATAGCTTCCTGTATAATTTTAAGTAAATACGTATGAGGATATAATATTCATATATGCATTAATGTTATAATAATTAATGACAGTAATCATGATTTTCATGTTCTGATAATCTTTACAATTTAGTAATTAACCATTTCAAAATTGAGTGCTATGGGTACATGATAGAATGGAGAAAAACCAAAACAGGGATTCGTTGTCTTTTAGCATCTTGGTCTACCTGGCTCTTAGTTTTCCTGTTTGTAAAATGAGAGAGTTGGGTGTAAGGTTTCTATCCACTTTGAAATTCAAAGATGTTTTGCTAACCACGGTAAATTTACCATTTCATAAGATGGGGAGTTTTGTCAACCATTAATTCTGTATGAATTTGCAGCTGTTAGCAATATAGTAGGTATATATTTTAAAATTATAAGAGAGCAGATTATATTTTAATATTCCCAAATTAATTAAGGATCACAAAAGATGAGGCATGTGTCCAGGGCTTCGAGCATAGCAGTCATTCCTCAGATCTTCACAAACACACCTGTGGGAGCGCAGTGGCAGTGTTTTCCTCCTGCACCAGAATGTCACGTCTTGGTATAAGGGACTCCCTATTGCTGTATGTTGATATTAGAACAGAACCCAAGAGTGATGATCAAAATGCTTAAAACCTGATGTGTCATGAATACCCACCAATCAGAATGGATTTCTGCCATTCTGGAGCAGGATACTGGAGGCTCTTGCTGCACCAACTGCCAATGTTTTATTCGCTGGATAGTGGGACTATCTGAGGGGTGTTTGGAGAAGAGGCCAGGGAAGCAGGGGAACATTTAGAGTGCTTAGGGCAAAGGCTATTTACCAACTGTTACAGAAATATTTCATTGTTTTTATAACCATCATGACTGTTTTCGTGTGTCATGCTATATATAGCTGGGATACAAGCTGGGATACAGACAAGCCCTTTTCCTCTTTAATCAAGTCTTACCCTTCCCAGCGTAGCTGGAAGAGTTGGCATTTGTGTACACCACATATTTAGCATTGTGCTTGGCATGTGGAAGGACCTAAATGAGGAAGAGCTGTTATTAGTGGGTGCAAAAACATTTTATTATAAGTATAAAGGGATGTTATTAAAACACCCTCCTCTCATCCCCTGTCCACTTTCTTTGCCAGGGCCATGCCATGTACTAGGAGTATTTGAAAAGATGCTTATTGTATTCTTGGCATGACCTCACTGCAGAAGTAAAGGGGGCACCGATCAAGGAGCCAAAGCAGAATGACTTGCTTCTGTTCTCAGTGCTTGTTATGATTTCATAGCTAGTACTTGAATAAAACTGTTCATTGCTTTATTTTCCATTTAAGTATATTAGAGCAAATCACATGGATTCTCTCAGCTTCTGGATCTTCATTGCAAAATGGGAATAATATCTGCCCTATCTATTTCTTAGGGTTGTCGTAATAAAAAAGGGGTATCACATTCTTAATGTTTTAGGAAAAAGAAATAAGGATGCTTCATAGTGGTATTCTCTGGGCAAGTCTAGTTTTACAATTTTTGTATATCTTTATATTGTTCTCAGCATATCCCTTCCCATTCCATAATTCCTAGTCAGTGATAAGTGAACACCTCGGTAAATAAAAATCTACTGAATTTTATTGAAAGATTATTAGGCTATATTACTGCCTTTTGGAATAATATGTGTTTTAAAAATTCTGTCAAAAATACTTAGAAGATACATGAGTACATACATCAAAATTAAAAGATAAATGCCGAGGGTCTCAAGTCTTCCCTTAGTTCAATTCTTGAAAAAGCATGTTTGCTCTATCAGACCAGGTGAGAACTATTTAGTCCTCTAGTTTTCTTTTACAAATCAGTTAGTTTACTCTAAGGGAGAAATAAGCATAGTAGAGGCTTTCTCTGCATATGTGGTTGAAAATTATTTATGGTCACTATAATTTTGAAAAGGAGTTGAAAGACCACAAATAGGTCAGATGCAGGGAACGTTATTACTGTGTGACCTCTGAATGTCCATTTCATTTGTTCCTATTTTGGATCCTTTGCATTCACGTTGGTAGCCCATTTGAACGTCCATGGAAGTCATTTGTCAATTACACTATTGTAAAAGTGGCTATTATTCCTTGGTTTGATGTTTCTATACTTTTAATATTGTTTTTGGTTATTTGCACATTTTATTTGCAAATGTTTGGCTTTGAATACATCTGCAACAGACTCTTTTTTTACTTCCATTTCTGTCCTTTCTTCATTCTTTTATATTTTCTTTCTTTTAAATTGGCTGATTATCCTGCTACTACATTCCAAGGAACTGAGGAGACAGTCTTTTCCTAAGTTATAATATGTGAAAAATCACTTAAATCTTCTGTTCTTCATGTTCTATTTTGCTTTCAACAAGTGTTTCTTATGGTTAGATTTCTTCTGCAATCAAGTTTTCATCCTTTAAAAACTACGTATCTTCCTTAATAAAGACACCACAATGTATATAAGCAAAATATCTCCTTTAACCAAGCAAAATGATATTTTAAACTTCTGTGTCTCCTGGAAGAGCTTCTAACCCACTGAAGGTTTTCCCAGTGAATCTTGTCATAAATTGTCATTAATAGCTAGAACTTTTTAGTTTTCCATTAACATTCTTAACTGTTCTGACTACTGATGGTCTGAATCCTATACTAATAAAAATCAAGTAGTGAATTTCCAAGTACATTATCCTTTGATTATCCTTTTGTTATTCAGTGATTCATATTTGAGTAAATATATTTTCTTTGTTATTAACATTATAAAAATGCAAGAGATTGGATTTTTACAGGAAATGGCTTAACTTTTAGCTATTAGAATAAATTTGGGGATATTGTTTTATAGCAAGTAGTAATTAATAAAAAGGAAGCATCTGCTTTGCTGTAAGATTCTCTAGTAGGTAGCATTTAGCTTTCTTGTAATAATGAACCTTGATTCAAACATTTCATTCAGGTAAATAGAGGAAATTCAACAGTGTTATAAAAATATTTAATTTTTATGTCCAAAGCTTTTACTCAAGGTACAGTTACATGATAAGCAAAAACTACTAATTTAGTACAAATGTTAATTTCTCAAAGGATAGATTGCAATAAAGATACCAACACAGAAGTAATTTTTTGTTTTTGTTTCAATTTTGCTCCCAGTTCCAACTGCCTGATCAGAGAACTTGGGTAAGTTTCCTACTTATATTTTTGACTAAAGTGATGTAGCATTAAAAAGAAAACAACTTAACATTCTAAATTGCTGTACAGACATAAAGAATTCTGAACTCCTTTCCATTACATCATATGGCTCCAGCAGATAGTTGACCTGCTTTCTCAAGCTGCATTCTTTCAGTTATAATTGGGCATTTAGTGAGCTAGAAATTGTTTACAGAATGATTTTATTCGATAAATCTGATCCATTCCACATAATTATACCTTGATATGGAACTCTTTCTGGACACCTGGGAACACGCTGTTAAACGAGGCTTCGAAATGGGTCACTAAGTGAAAACAACCATTATTTGGTGGAGCCTGTATCAGCATGTAAAGATGCTTTTGATAAAGCCTTCTAAAGGATAAAACCTGAACTTGTGTGTAGATACAGGCTGACATGGGAATTCACATCCATATATCCCAGGGCAGAAATTGGTTCTGGCTATTTGAAGATATAAAACTAAATGTTTACAAATCCATATGTAACTAGTGAATGGATCTTTTAGCATCTAGTCTCACTTCCTTAACTTTCAGTTACTACTTCCAGATACAGTCAGTTTCAGTTAATAATATTAGGGGATAGCTTTATTTTTTATTGTGGAAGATACTCAGGATACAAAGAATACTGCTTATTTAGTTTTTACCCCCAAATAAAACTTGGTCAGTGGAAATAACATATAGTTAAAAATATTCTCTAAGTATATGTGTTTTTGTTTCTCTTTTTCACTGAAAATTATTCTGATTTCTGATGAATGGGCAAAATCTTGGGATATAGTTCAGCTGTCCTTTTAAAGTCACTGGATAATTATATATAAACTTAGTTGAAGCATTTTAGCACTAACCTGTTTCCTCTATTTGATGTTAGTTTTTCTTTACCAGAAATTTCTTCATTTTATCTCTTTTGTGGAATATGTAAAATTGTGATTTTTCTCATTCTGATAGACTTTTAAGGTTTAAGTTTATTTCAAAAGTATACAAATATTTATGGAGAGAGAGGGAGAGAGATCAACTCGCTAACTTAGGCAAAGTTGTGCAATAGATGAGGTTTGTTTTCTGATTATCCTGGCCTGCATTTCCAGTCTTCTTTCTTTGCATTTCCTGCTAGAGATCTGTCTTGAGTATTGTGCCTCATGGTCCTCATCTTTTCTAAGGTACAGTATGACTTTGACAATAGCTCTGTTGTTAGCTGGTTGAAGCTTAAGGTGTTGACCCCCTACATACATGGCCAATGATTGTGCCAACTTACAAAGGCAATATAGATTTTAAGTTAAACTACCTTTTCTTACAATACAACAGCATAGTGATTGCTGTTGCAATGCTTTGAAACATTCCCATTCCATTGAGTCACAGGTTTTTTGGAGATGTGATTTACATTTGTATTATAAAACAGATATTAGTAGGGAATATTAAAGATACATGTTTATAATTTTTAGTGGTAAATAAATCTCTATGTTGATTGTTTGTAACACAAAGGATACATGCTTGAGGGGATGAATATTCCATTCTCCATGATGTAATTATTTCACATTGTATGCCTGTGTGAAAACATCTCATGTATCCCACAGATATATACACCTACAATGTACCACAAAAAAATAAAGAAAAAACTAAGTGATTTCATAATCATGACTGCTGAATGTGATACATGGAGTGAGATAACCACAAAATAGGAATATTTACTTCTCCCCCATATGACCATGATTTTGAGATTTCTCAAGATTATCAAGTGAATAAATATAGAAAACTACCAAATCTACAAATTTTCCCATCATAAGTTATTTATGAAAAGTTAATTATTTTATGATAAAGTCATGTGTAATCTAATTTGTAAAACATTGAGTCACATGATTAATGGTGTTGTTGGACATATCATTTCATATAATCAGGTTGTCACTTTAATAGTTTTAATGAGAAACCTTTTTATGCCATCAATTATTGGCTGCCAGATAATAAATGTTAAGTGCAGTGCTTAGGACCCAGTTGATAATATCTTGCCTGCTGAAATGTTTTTAAAAATACTAACTTTATTTGACTAGAGAGATAGCTACATTTTTTGGTAGAAGCTAGGGAATTGTGTCTAAATATTAGTTTGCGTCAGTATAAAGTTAATAGCCTCTTGGGGACTGGAACAGGGTGAAATGACTTCCTCTTCCAGACATCTGGCTGCAGATAACATCAACTATTATATATGTAAATAAAAATTACTGTTCCATAGGAAAAAACTGTCATTTACTGATCTTAGATTAGCCTATGACATTAATGAATCACAGGGTAATATATTTTTTAAATATATGATCTAACTTTTACCCCTTTGATTTCCCCATTCTCAGCCAATTTCTTATTCGTCATAGTAGATATTGCTCTTCTCATTTGATTTTTTCATAATTTAAAAACATATAGCTAGATTCTGTTCCATTTATTCCAATTTATCTTGATTTTTAAAATTTAAAATTAATCTCAAAACTTACTGTTTCTCCTGCAAAAAGTGTGTTACTTTTGGAGGAACATCACGTGAGTCAGACCAGCCAGCAAGAGAAAGTTGGGGTTTTGATCTGTACACTCAATAGAGTTCGTGTTAATCCAATACCTTAATCATAGGTATTGACTAGGGCTGATGATGGTCACAGAACTGCCGAGTTACCCCAACTAGCAGATGTCTGAGTCACTTCTGTTTATCTTAATGTGGAAACTTATTCTTTTCAACTGAGGTCAAGTGCTGTAAGAGCAAATATTAGGAAGATGAAAAGAAGGATTCAACGAAGGCTTTTATGTTGCTTCAGTGGTTGCTGGCTGGGCAGAAAATGTTTTGCGTACGTGTGTATGTGTGTTAACAGTTACCCTCAGCTTGCTTCCCATCTTCTTTCCTTCCCTTTCCCCACTCCAATTTAATCCTCTTTTCATTTGACACCGGAAGCCAAAGGTGGGGGCGGCTTGTAAGACACTTGCATAACCCTTGTTCTTTTTCCTATTACCTTTAAGAATGTCATTATTTAGCCATCAAGCCCATAATCTATTTTCTTGTTTCTTGATGGTTTTCCCAAATCGAAACAGTTTGAGGAAAAATAATCACAGTGATCTTTCTTCAAAAGGAGCTAGCTATTAGCAGCTACTAACGCAAGACACATTTCTCAACAGCCAATTGCTCTCAAATAACTTGAAGGACTTGTAGTTTATGTGTGCTGAAGATGAAAGCCGAGAATAATAGTCATGAGTAAGCTATTTTCCATATAAAAGGAAACGTGTTTCTATAAGATGTTTTGTTGCAGGAATCTGAGTATGTCAGCAGGATGGACACTCAAATGATTTAAAACCACTAGATAATGAACTTTTACTTAAATATTAAATGTACCTAAATAAAACGTTTATAATCACTACCCGTGCACTAACTGTTCTTCCCAATAAATGTGTGTGATCATGACCCTTATCCATGCTTGTTACTAGTGCTAATCAGTTTGAAGGCCAGAGGTCGTTTTTTCACTCAGAAAACTTATTTCTTGCTTTCTTGCTGGGTGGAATCTCAAAATGATTTTCTACAAGGAACAATTAGAAGGAAGAAATGCAAATACAAGAGTATCATAAAATATTTCTGGATTGATTTTTTAATAAAGAAATCCAAAGTAACATGGACATGCTAGTGCTCTGTCTAGAAGGGAATAATGACCGTGTTCTGCAGAGACAGAACTTCCTCCAACCTCTGTGAGCAGCAGCATCATTCCATATCTCTGCCCTGTGATCAGTATGTGTCAAAATCCTTCATCGTGACAAATGTGCTGTCCACTGGCGTCTGTGGAGAATGTTTTAGCAGCTGAGTGATTATGAATCAAACCCCTGAGCTTATAGCCCTTACTGCCTCCCCATGCGTTCACATTTGTCGTCTGACAAGTAAATGTATCTTGACTTTCCTCTGAGATTTTTTTGTACCGTGTTTGATGAAAGACATTTGGCCAATTGGCAGTCGTACCCTGTACATTGCAATTTGTAGCTAGCATCAGGAGTCCGGGCATGAAATGAGAGGGCAGGCTCCAGGATAAAGGGGGAAAAAAAAGAGAACTAACTAGAACATGAATAGTCACTTGAAGAATCAAACACACAATATTCCTTTTGTGAGAAGAGATCATATTCAGGCCATGCTGTCAGATTTTGCTCTGGTTTAAGAAGTTGATGGTATTCTGTCCAGCTGGGTGTCCACAGAATATATGTCTTGTTAGTTTTTCCTTCTGAGTAGGAAATGTTGCCTTTTAGTTTTAACTTGAGCTCATAAATTAGGCCTCCATCTCTGTCCTGCTGTCTCATTAGCAAAAGGATAGTTTCTTGGGTTGACCAGTTGTTTGAACTTGCAGTCATCATCTCAATTCTTATGTGTCTTCTGGTTGAGCATCACAGCTCTTTGAGAATTTTATATAATGTATATAGAATGCAAACACTTTTTAAAATAGCTTCTTGAGCTTTCTAATGGCACACTGCGCCGAGAATCAAATAAATAATGGGTGAGTTGATTTAACAGGATGGCCTGAAAGTTTGTTTTTCTACTTAAAAATTCAGTAATAAGCAGCTTCCAAATAAAATGTGAGCCCTGAGGAAAACCAACATGTTGAGAGGGTCAAAGGAAAGGGGAGAGTCCCTCTGGCTGTGGAGCTTAAGAATCAAGCTAAGGCTGGGCACAGTAGCTTATGCCTATAATCCCAGCACTTTGGGAGACTGAAGCAGGTGGAAGGCTTGCTTGAGACCAGGAGTTCAAGACCAGCCTGTGCAACATAGTGAGACTCCATCTCTACAAAACATTTTTTTAAAAACAGTGATCAAGCCAACTTTAAAAGCAAATGCCATCCTCTGCTTGTGACTCTCAAATAAGTGTGCAGGTGAACAAAAACTTGAAGATTATAAACAACAAAAATTAGATTATTGGGGGGAAGAATTAGGCAGGGATAGTTTTCTTTCAAGAATGTTTCTCTAAAAGCATGGTTACATGAACTACTCCCCCTGTCTTACAAGGTACATGCCAAGTTATGTTATATGAAATTATACTAACATATGACGAACTGTCATTTCAACTCAGTCTTTGTCTTTGATGAAATTAATATTTAATCAAAATTATTTGTATATGATCCCACTTAAAAATATGGCATATCCAGATGGTAATTTAATGTAGTCTTAGGCAATACCCTCCTATACATTTACTTTTTTTCTTTCTGAGTTACACATATTTGGCTTAAGCTGTAATTTTGTAACACTTCATGTTCTTCCATGCTTTCAGTTCTTTTCTTGGGACTGCATGGTTCTTAGGGTTTTCATTGCCTAGGCAAGGCATATAGCAACTCTCCCTATAATTTCCATTACGTTAATATCCATCCCATGATACTAATGCTGTCACTTAAATAAAAAACTTAACTTGGCTTTATTAGCTCTCTTATATATTTCAATGTTCAATTATATATCAGATTATGATAAAATGGCCTAACCAAGGTCTTATGGAAAAAGTTCACTCAGCATTTTATAAGCTTAGTTCTACTTATGGTATTTCCCAAATAAATCAATTCTGTTGTTATTTATTTAATGTTGGGATACTACAGTCTCTTTCTACAACCCATCACAGATTTCATGCTTCCCTTTTAATGATGTCCTTGGTTTGCCAGAGATTATCATAGAAGACAAGATGCCAAACGCTTCATGGTCTTGTGCTTTTACCTTTCAGATGTCAGCTATTGAAAACATGGCGGAAAAGCTAGAGAGCTTCAGTGCCCTGAAGCCTGAGGCAAGTGAGCTCCTACAGTCAGTACCCTCTATGTTCAACTTCAGGGCGCCTCCCAGTGCCCTGCCAGAGAACCTTCTGCGGAAGGGAAAGGAGCGCTATACCTGCAGGTAACTGCACAGTTAATCACGGCTGACTTTCCAGAAATCTCCCCTCTGATTTCAAAAGGCCCTGCTGTTTGTTTTGGAAATTATTCCTGATTAGATGATTAATAGCCACCATGATAGATCTCAAGCACTTCAAAGTGTTCTTCATTTAGTGAAATATAAAAATAGTGTTTTTAAAAAATTATTAAATGTGAATTTTAACACAGGCCATTTGGTTGTGATAAATGAGATTGGAAACAGTCCAAATACTATCTGCTTGTCTCACTTTGATATTTATGAATTTTCTTTCACAATTAATTGTTTTCATCTAAAGGTATACTACTACTGTCCTCAAGCATATATTCATTAATTGTCATGGCATTAAAGAATAAGGCCATTAATTAAAGACAAATAAGGTCCACAAGTGAATGAAACTAGCTAGTAAATTTTTTGTTCCTCATCAGTAGTAAAGCTTATTTTATGTTTCTGGTTTTGTGTGTGATTTTTTTTGCGAAATAAATTGTGCTTATAATTTCTGAATCATCTTTAGAAATGGGTAGGTATCTGACTCGGGCATGCAACTTTATCTGCTCTTTGAAAAATATGTCACTTTCTTTCCAGAAAAAAAGCTTTTATGGGTACATACCTTGATGGATGAAGTCTCAGGATTTTGTCTGATCTGATACCACTCTATGTATAGGGAGTTATCACTGTGACTGACGTGTAAAATGAGTTGAAACATTTGAAATCTGTTTACATCAACCCAGAATCAGAAACTCTAACCATATTTTTATCCCCTTGTCTGGTTCAATTTTGTGAATGTAAAAATATCGAGTTAGTAAGAGAGATGTATAGGAGTAGTCAAAACTAAAGTCTATTTGCATAAATTGCTTGCTTATATGCGAATAAATTCAACCAGACCTTATAATTAAGTCTCTATTTGTAGACTTATTTATTTATTTATTTATTTATTTATTTATTTATTTATTTTTATTTTTTATTTTTATTTTTTGAGACGGAGTCTCGCTCTGTCGCCCGGGCTGGAGTGCAGTGGCCGGATCTCAGCTCACTGCAAGCTCTGCCTCCCGGGTTCATGCCATTCTCCTGCCTCAGCCTCCCAAGTAGCTGGGACTACAGGCACCCGCCACCTCGCCCAGCTAGTTTTTTTTTTTTTTTTTTTTTTTGTATTTTTTAGTAGAGACGGGGTTTCACTGTGTTAGCCAGGATGATCTCGATCTCCTGACCTCGTGATCCACCCGTCTCAGCCTCCCAAAGTGCTGGGATTACAGGCTTGAGCCACCGCGCCCAGCCTTGTAGACTTATTTATATTAATATCTGTGAAATGGCTTTGTTACAAATTTTAAATACCAAAGAAATGTGAGTTCCATGCAAGATTAATTGAACCAGGAATAAGCATCTGGCTGCTGTGTGGCTTGAGTGAAATATAGTCGACTGTGCTGACTTTCTTTTATAAACATCTTTTCATGACAGATACTGTGGCAAGATTTTTCCAAGGTCTGCAAACCTAACACGGCACTTGAGAACCCACACAGGAGAGCAACCTTACAGGTTTGACAATGATATTTGCTAAATATCTTGACAAATATTGTAGTAATTAAAGTGAGTTCATGGACACGATTTCATAGGAGGCTTTTTTATGCATGTCTGAATATATGTCTATTCAATTTTGAGTCAAGAAAGAATTGACTAGTGGCTAGGATCAAAATTAGAAGAGTTCCGGTTTCTTTAATCAAGGCTTCCTACCTCTCAGTTTAAAAGTTCTAGCACAGTGTCTAGGACAGAATAAGTACTTAAGAAATACTAGCCATTTTAAATATTATTTTTTATTATCATTGTGTTCTCTTTTCTCAATAATTAGGATGATCTTAATTGACAAAAATCATAACATTGCAGCCTTCCTTTTCCAAGCCTCAGATCTCTGCTAGGAGTTAACAACCCATATGTACTTTTTGCCCCCAGCACAGCTAAGTCATTTTCCATGGGTTCCAATAGGAGGTTTAAAGAATAGATTTTAGGCTGGGCACAGTGGCTCACGCCTGTAATCCCAACACTTTGGGAGGCAGAGACAGGTGGATCCCTTGAGGTCAGGAGTTTGAGATCAGCCTGGCCAACATGGTAAAACCCTGTCTCTACTAAAAATACAAAAATTAGTTGGGTGTGGTGGCTCACACCTGTAGTCCCAGCTACTTGGGACACTGAGGCAGGAGAATTCACTGCACCTGGGAGGTGGAGGTTGCTGTAGGCCAAGATTGCACCACTACACTCCAACCTGGGTGACAGAGTGAGACTCTGTCAAAAAGAAAAAGAAAAAAAGAATAAAGGAACAGATCTTAAGCCTGGGGAAGTCTGGGGAGAAGAAAATGTGAAACTAGAGGTAGGACAGATAAAATAGAGTATATTATAGAAAAAGGGGTAATTTTATCAATAATTTCCTAAATTACCTCTTAGTTTATTCTATTATATGCCAAGATTAGTCATATGACACATTGAACACATCTAATTTTAATATTGTTTATGAAAGATTGAAAATAGACTTTTTCCAATTTTAAAATATAAACTACATTGTTTAATGTTCAATGCCTTGCACACAATATTAGGTACTCGTAAATATTTCTTCAAAGAATGAATATTATATAACTTAAGTAATATCATAATGTCATTCTCCTTTGAAATTCTTATACATTGCTTGTATGCAAAATTATTTTTTCATGAGTGCTAAGTTTTTCTATTAAAACAAAAAAGTAAGATATGTATCACATTTCAAATATTTTTTTTTAATGGTAAAATAAGAAAATGGGTAATTTGAGGATAATTGAAATCTTAGGAGAAAGTTGGAGGGAGCTAAACTTAAAACATCAGTGTTTTCTCAATTTCCTTGCTTTCCTACCTGTTTTATAAATCACTAATTATAAGTGATATATTTCCAATTTATACATGATAGAATGCACTTGATATAACAGGTCTCAGAGAGATGTAATACTGGGAAGTTTTAGATGATTTCCCCTTTTCAGAAAATTCTATTACCAGAAATTCTGCTTAAGTGGAAGGAAAGGTTTCCGCACTCATGTTTTGTTATGGCAAGAGTACTGGAAACTATGTTGTCAGGTTCATTTTACTCTTTCTTTGTACATAAATTCAATGGTTTTATTCCACCCAATAATGGTGCTACTATCGTACATATATTTTTTTTAAACCACAAACCAGAATTTTGGTATAGCTGGAGATCTTACACAATTATTTGTCCAGCCCCTCTGGTTTTATTTTTTTATTTATTTATTTTTTCCTTGTGAAGAATTCCAATGAACAGTGTAGAAAAAAATGAGGAAAACAAAATCACAATTAGGACATCATAATAATAATTGCTACAGGCAAGATCAATTGAATGTTAAAATGAGTGTATGTAGTGAACTAGAGTTTATAGTTTAGTTAATGTATCAATGTTGGTTTAATAGTTGTGAGAAATGTATGTGAAATATATTAACAATGGGGAAAATGGGTGCTATGTACTATCTTGGCAACCTTTTAATAAATCTAGAACTCTTCTAAAATGAAAAGTTTATTTAGGCCAAATGTGGTGCTTCATGCCTACAATCCCAGCACTCAGAGAGGCTGGGGCAGGAGGACCACCCAAACCTAGCAGGTGAAGACCAGCCTGGGCAACACAGCAAGACATCATCTTCAAAAAAAGAAAAGTTCATTTAAAAAATAAAAAATTAGTGAGTGAAAGTTCAAGGAGAAACAGGATATTTGCATAGCCCCAAAATACCTTCTGCGAAATATTTGTTAATTAGAAAGAGAAAAAGTAGTAACCTTATAGTGGAGAAATGTGGCAGATACTACCTTATCCAAATGATCAGGGTTAACAATGCCAGAAGTTAGACATGTCAGCATCATGTACCCTTGATAGGACACATTGAGAGGGCATATTGTCTCTGTGCTATTTTCCCCCAAAATTTATAACCTCACTCTAATAATGAGAAAATATCAGACCAACCCAAATTGAGGAAAATTCTACCAAATTCCCTATCGGTATTATTCAGAAGTGTCAGGGTCATTAAAGGCAAGGAAAGACTGAGGAACTGTCAGAGACTGTAGAAAACTAAGGAGACATGACAGCTAAATGCAATGTGGGATCCTAGATCAGATCCTGGAACAGAAAAAGAGCATTGGAGAAAATTGGTGATAGTAAAATAAAGCCTGTATTTTAGTTAATAGTATTGCATCAACATTAATTTCCTAGTTTTAATGAATGTTAGGTAACATGTTAACTTTGGAGGAACTGAGGTAAAGGGTATATGGGAACCCTTTGTACTATCTTTGCAACTCTTCTGTAAGTCTAAAATTACTTCCAAAAGAAAAAAATTAACTAAAAAAATTAAAATGATATGTAAATTATATACAGATTATGTCTGCTTCCTGTGGCTGACCTGTGCCTTCTGGAAAGTTCTATTAGGTTTTAATACTTTATGTAGTAAAAGTTAAACATGGTCGCCTATATAGGAAATTATCTCTTCAGATAGATAAATACCAGTAGACCACAAGCTCCTTGACAGTGGAATCCTCCCCCCCCCCCCCTTTTTTTTTTTTTAATAGACAGTAGGTCTCACTCTGTAGCTCAGGCTGGTTCTGAACTCCTGGCTTCAAGCAATTCTCCCACATCCACCTCCTGATTATTAGCAGGAGGAGGGATTATAGGCAGGTGCCATCATGTCCTGGATAATCCATATCTTATTCATCTCTGTGTCCTTGATGCATCAGCCCCTCTGTTTTACAAATGAAAAGATTCAGATTTACATATGCTAATTGCCTTCTGCAAAGTCTGATACTAATAGAGTCAGGATTAAAACCCAGGCCCAGAGCTCTCACTTCAGCGTTTTTATTTTGCATCATGATATCAAAGGCTCATCTGACCTCCATGTCTACATCCGATAACTAGGAAGGCTTAATAGTATACTGCCCATGACTGTGCTATGTGTTCATTTTAAGAATTCCTAAAACTTAAGCTCTTATTGGAGTTGTGTAGAAGGAATTGATTTTTTATTTAGAGCATTCTTCTTCTGGCCAAGACTTTAGCAGAGGAGAGATAGAAAGTAACAACTGATCATTGGTTAGAACATGCTTCTTTAGATTTGAGAAGATGATGCTTACTAGATTTGGAAAAGACCCTTTGTGTGCAAGCAGAAAGTTAGAAGCATGGCAGAAACATAATCTCTCTTCCTCATGATTTGTGTAGAAAGTGTTTTGGGTGAAAAAATTTTTTTAAAGTGTTTCGTGGGAGTATGTTTACTCTAACAGGGTTTTCTAGGTTATTCTGCTAAGCACAGAATAAATTGTGCTAAATATAGCATGGTTCTCATTGCAGCGGACCTTGGAGGTAAACAGAGTTATTGCAGAGAAGGTCATAACTTTATATGCATTTTTTTTTAAAAAAAAAAAACAGGGGTTAAAATATTACAACTACCATAATGTGGAGTTTCACACATTTTTTATTAATATTGTAAGTGAGGAAAGTTGAAGAACCTTATGATGCCAGAGCAGTTTTTTAAGGGGGAAAAATTAAATCAGTACTTGTGTTGGTTTATTGATACTATGCCAAAGTAACTAGTTCAACAGATTATTTTTCCTACTGAACTGACTAGACTTCTGGCGTCACATAAGGACAGCCACAGAAGCCCAAGAACTCTAGTGGAATGGGCTGATTTCTGCTTTAGAGATCTTGAACCACTGACTCTGCATTCAGAAGTGGGAGGAGAAGGGCCCTTCACACGTGGAAGGATGAGTTAAGAATTTTCTATCCTCTAAGATTGAAGTTTTCATTTAAAAGTCATTTGGAGGCTGGACGCGGTGACCCACGACTGTAATCCTGGCACTTTGGAAGGCTGAGGTGTGTGGATCATTTGAGGTCAGGAGTTGGAGACCAGCCTGGCCAACATGGTGAAACTCTGTCTCTACAAAAATACAAAAGTTAGCTGAGCATGGTGACACGTGCCTGTAATCCCAGCTACTCAGGAGGCTGAGGCAGGGGAATCGCTTGAACCCAGGAGGCAGAGGTTGCAGCGAGCCGAGATTGTGCCACTGCACTCCTGTCTGGGTGATGGAGTGAGGCTTCATCTAAAAAACAGCAACAACAAAAAAGTCATTTGGAGAAAGTTAACTTTTTTTTTCAAGTAATATGTCCCCCAAAATCACAGAAACAAATCATGGCAAATAATGGAAACTTTACCTTAAAATGATAGAGGATAATAACCTCAATTACTAAAAACCCTTTTCTTCTTCACTGATGAGGACTAGGGGAAGGGAGCCTTGCATTTCTATATTTTCATTTTATGACTAAAGGAAAACGTTAAAAATAATTTATGGTATTTTTATCACATAGACAACAGAAACAATTAACCAACCAATAACAAGTGCTTTCACGAAAAACTGACCTAGTTCAGACTGCTAGAGACTCTTTCAGAAAAAGAGAAATGAAAAATAAGGAGTAATAGGAAGGGAGATAAATGGAAGACCTTTGCTTCGATTTCACAAAGTGAATTTAGTGGCATTATTTTTTTTATAACAGTTTAAAGATTAATAGAGAAAAGGCTTTATGGTAGCTGATTCTTAGGTATCACACTGAGTTATTTACATTGTCTTAGTTTTAAAAGTCTAGAATATTCATTGCTATTTTGAAACTGATAATGGAATTTTCTTTAGGATTAGCATCTGAGAAAGTGAATTTCCTGAGAAATTGGTTAATCAGACTGCAATTTTGAATTAAAAAGTGATATATTATTGTATTTGAAAACTATATGAATGTTTTATGTTTGTTTACCAAAAAATTAATTGTATTGTCCTAAGCAGAAGATAAAACAATGCTACTGTTCCTCAATGTGCTTTATTTTATGAGGTTTACTTAAAATATTGGTACTGATTAATGAATTTGGGAGCAATCGAATCACTAATATTTTATGGTTTTTGATAAAGTCATGAAAGTCTTTAAAGCGACCACAATCTATTGGAATTAAAATCTTAACTGTGTGAATAGTATTCTCCCCATGCCTTTCCTTTAAAATGTTGTTTTATGAGTGGAGATGATTTTTGAAAGCTGGCTAACTAGTCTTGAGAAATACCTTTTAATGTGCTTCTAAATATTTTCTCTTTGTTTATTTTTCAGATGCAAATACTGTGACAGATCATTTAGCATATCTTCTAACTTGCAAAGGCATGTTCGCAACATCCACAATAAAGAGAAGCCATTTAAGTGTCACTTATGTGATAGGTGTTTTGGTCAACAAACCAATTTAGACAGACACCTAAAGAAACATGAGAATGGGAACATGTCCGGTATGTAATAAATTGTGTTATAAGTCAAATATGGCTTCTTTTTCATATTTTAAATAATCATAAGATAATGTGATCTTTCTTCTTTTATTCCACTTTGACACCAAATCAGGTCTTATTGTAAAAATTTCCAGCAAGTTTCTATTGAGATTTTAGAATAATGTGAGCAATGTGACCATTGATTAATTGATGATTCAGTGGCCTTATTTGTATTATGTTTTTATCTTCCTGAATTCATGTTAATGGGTACTTTTAAGCAAAGAGGACAATGACCTAAACTCGCAGGAGGCTTATGAAACAAGATTTCCTTAATTGCAGGGGACCGTCTTTTCACCTATTGGCACAGAATGTGGCCCCTAGGCATGGCAGAGTTTCTAGAGTGGCAACCCCAGAATGTCACCCTCTGAATACTAAAATAGAAAGCATAGCTGCTTTTGTGAAAGGCCTGCAGCTCAGAGAACCTCTCTTGGTAGTTTTTGCTATGACTCGGAATATGAGACTATTGACATGATCAGAGCAACCCATAGCAAATGATAGTGGTACTTTGTTTTCGTCACAAATTCTTATATAAAATTAAGATAAAAGTAACTGGCATAAAACTAGACTTTTCTTAACTGGAACCTTGCCAGCACATATTTAGCAGAAGGGATTGTAGGTTTTCTAGTCTTTGGCTTCTAATAGTTAGATAATAAGTCATTAGGTAACATTTGCCAGCTGGCATATGTGTGCAGAGCCAACCTGTACAGTCACAATTTGTCTCCGGAGAATAAAGGTTATGCTTTGGGAGTAGGGGAGGAGAGATACAGAGTTCAGGCAAAGAGATTTAAGAACAGAAAAAAGTTGGATTAATACAGACTAGCAATCTTTATTGATGGAATTTTTAAATTATTAATCTTTCTTCCACTGTAAAGGCACATTGTTTATGATCTTGTCTGATTACTACCTAAAAGTATATACTGTTCATCTCCCTCAAAGTCAGCAATTTAATGATCATAGTTTTAAAATACTAGATTTTAGGTACAGAAGTATAATCCAATATGCAGAACTGACCGCACTGTCTAACTGTGTGTACCCTTAGAGCAGACAACTATAATTTTCTCATCAAAGTTATTTTAGGAAAAATAGTTAAACGTGTAACATGTCAACGTTAATACTTGTTGACCTCTTTTAGGTGAGGGGATTTTAAATTATAACCTCTTTTACGTGAGGGGATGTTTTAACCTCTTGTTTTTGTCGTATAGACTATTGTGATGAACTATTATATTATAGATACTTTGTAGACAAGATAAACAACAGGAAGCTAATGTTGGTGTAAAGCTCAACCACATACAAAGTGTTTATAGTTGATTAAGTTTATGTAAGCCTTACATCAATCCTGTGATACAGGTATTGTGAGTCTCGCGTTTCATGGCCAAGGAAGCTGAAGACCTCCTAAAGTTATTAATATTCATAGGGCATGTTTGAAGAAATAACACTGATCAAATTCATAAGGAGTGAGTTTCCAAATAAGTAGCTAGATAAACAATAATCTTTGTCATAAAAGGCTTTCTACTCCACACAGGTACAGCAACATCGTCGCCTCATTCTGAACTGGAAAGTACAGGTGCGATTCTGGATGACAAAGAAGATGCTTACTTCACAGAAATTCGAAATTTCATCGGGAACAGCAACCACAGCAGTCAGTCTCCCAGGAATGTGGAGGAGAGGTAAAGCTGTGTTTTACTCTTTAAACTCTGTGACGACTGAAATGAATATGTTTTAAAATAAACTTTTTATGCTCACTTTTGTGGCACTACTATTACTTCAGTCACCAAAGACTGGTATATATTTAGTACATATTAAATACCACATGTGCTTCCAAGCATTTTACATGTATTAATTAATTTAATTTCATGATAACCCTGTGAGATAGCCACTGTAATTTTAGCAGTGAAGGAACGGAGACATTGAAGCTTAAACCATTGTGTCGGAGGTCACATAAGTAGTCAATGGGGATTCAACCTTAGCTGTCTGGTTCCAGAGCCCATAATTTTACCAGGATTTACCTAATTGATAGCTGGATAGAATCTGTTATCAAAATTTCAGAGGTAGAAGAAAAGGCCATCACAGGGATTCAGTTGAATCACTGATCAATACTGGTTACTGTTATACATTATAAATTTTATATATATATATATATTACAGGTAATATATGATTCTATATATATGTATTATACCTATATATGTATATGTATATTCTGTATACATATTATTGTACATATGTATGTATGCATTTATATATGAAATACCCATGGAGTTTCCCCCAAATATATTTTACATAGAAACTTTTTTAGTCTTCTTAAGATTCTATTGCTACTTTATGTCCTCTTAAGTGACTACTCATTTAATTCTGGTCTGTTTATTTCAGTGGGTGTGATCATCCTTGTTTTTACCGACCTGATGCACTGGCTCCTTTTGTCATCATCAACATTAAGCATGAATAGCTTAATTCATTTTAAAAAGCTTTTAATGCTGTTAATGATAATACTTAACAGTTACCCAGCACTTCACATTGCATATGAAGTTAATGAAACACTATTTCACCAAAACTACTGGATTTAATTTTTCTTATCTATAAGCTATATTAAATATCTGTTGTTGAGAAGTAGACTTTTCTGGACATAACTATATAGTGACCTATTAAATTAGGATGCTGCATTGTAAATTTTAAAAAAAAACATGACATTAGTTGAAAGTTCCATTATTTTTCGTCATGCGAGTATTATTGGGTTAGTGTCCTCTATTTTTGATGTTATTAAAAGTCAAACTTAATTATTTTATGTAATTTCTTCAAGGCAAGCATCAAATAAACATTTTTTACTAAAATAACAAAAAAAAGAGACCACTTCTGTTCTTCAACTTGTGTAAAAGTGTGTGTAAGAAAAACAAGAAAAAAGACCCTTCCAGTCTCTCAGAAATCTGATAACCACACCAGTGTACAGTTGGATGTATCTTTCCCTTTACTCGTCCATTTGTGTGTGTGTTTCTGTCTGTCTGTCTGTCTGTCTGTCTGTCTGTAAAAGGGAGAGGGGAAGTAGATGATCAGAAGGACAAAGTAGCAAGAACAAGCAAGAAACAGTAACAATCTTACACTTTGATAATGATATTTACTTGATACAAGTAAGAACCGTTGAACAAAACACACCATTTGGGTTCTGAGATGCCTATTCAAATTTTCTAGCCTTTAATTGGCGATTTGTGAACCTGTATAGCTGCAACATCTGGCTTCAACATGTCTAAACAGCACAGAAGTAAGAAGGTTGAGTCATCTAAGTTTTTCCCCTGAACTCCTGTCAGGCTACTTTTGATGAATAATTCATTCCCTGCAAATTGCCACATTTGAAAACTTAATTAACAAATAGATTTTCTTAATTATGTTGGCTTTTGTTACTTTTGATTTTCACCCATGTACTCTTTTGTTCTTTTATTTTTTTCTTTCATTTTTTTTAAAATAAAAATTTTAATCCACTCATGCAAGCAAGTTGGCAGTGTATTTGGAAACTAATTTATGTCTGTGTATAAATTTTCACCATTCTTTGATAAAAGAGGTTAAGAGATTATTTATATTAAAAGCTTAATAATGATATGACTTTTTCTGGTCAAATGGATTCTTACTATCTGCTTTTGTCACATCCAAGATTGTTTTATTTATTTTTTAATGCTGGGAAATCTGAATATTAAATTATACTCATTTTTGTTATGTGGGAAAGTGATGGGGGTGCATTGTTGATACTTGCGCTTTTTCCACCCTGGTGTTTCCCTGAGAAACAAGGAACTATTTCACATTCAGACTGTAAAAAATAATTTGAAAATAGTACAAATAAGTGAGCTCTCAATTACTTCCAAATTTGGATAGAGTGGCTAAGTGGAATATAACACAAATGTCATCTAGTTGTTTCTTGGCAGCTACTTTAAGATTGTCTTTGGACTTTTAGATTCACTTTAGGCATATGTATTGAAGCTACTGCCCATCAGTGATATGAGTTTTCCAGGAATCTATTATTTTAAATGGTGGGTACTTATATGGTAATTAGGTAAATTGTGCTGAGAATGTATTTGTGTGCCTTTTTATATGATATATATAGAAATGTCAATTATCAAGCAAAGTCTGATAAGAAATAGGAGACCAAGATTGTTTCTTGGGTTCTGCCAGAGGCTTCATTTATAATCTGAACAATCATACAATTATTTTTTTCTTTATCTTCCCATTTGTGAGGTCACATTATTTTTTCATGGTTGACATAGAGCATAAACAATAAAAAATTTCCTGTGTAAGTGTTGGAAATCTAAACTGTTGTTGGGAAGACATAATAAAGAAACAAATTACGATTTTAAAAGTGAAACCAACAATTGGACTTTTTTTTTAATGCTTTTGAAAGAATGAATGGCAGTCATTTTAAAGATGAAAAGGCTTTGGTGACCAGTCAAAATTCAGACTTACTGGATGATGAAGAAGTTGAAGATGAGGTGTTGTTAGATGAGGAGGATGAAGACAATGATATTACTGGAAAAACAGGAAAGGAACCAGTGACAAGTAATTTACATGAAGGAAACCCTGAGGATGACTATGAAGAAACCAGTGCTCTAGAGATGAGTTGCAAGACATCCCCAGTGAGGTGAGTACCTTGGGTGACTTTAGAAACTAAGTTATAGTAGATCCACATATGGTTGCAATTCCTCCTGTGATAAGCAATTTGTGAGTTATAAATAACAAAAATTAAATTTGAATTAGTAAGGGATACTTAGTGGATTGGATTTAAATAGGTGAAAATAAGGTGGCCATCAACATAATCCACAAGCGTATAAATACATCAGGTTTTGTGCAACTCTGATTAACCTGAGGTGGGAAAGATAAAACGAAAACTACATAAGTACACAATCATTTATTGTTAGATTCTACCTATAAAACTCGAAGAAAAATAGAGATTTTGACATATTTAATTTATGCAATAACCTGGTATGATCATCAGTTAAGTATAATTGAGATAAATTTCACTTCATTAGACATATATGTGATCTATATAGATGATAACTTTTTAAATGAAAAGAAATAACCAAACAGTTAAATTGATGGCACTATTATATTTTCATGATGGATATTGACTAAATATTGTCATAACTAGCTTTACTTTAAATGGAAATTATGAATATACGAATTCTGTCTCTGCACATTACTGACAAATGTGTCACTGACTTTAACTGTTTATCTCAAATATATGCTTGGTTTTAGTTGCTAAAAATCTTAGCAGAAATATATTTTTAAGGCATGATGTTTGCAAATATTTATAAAAACCCAATAATTGATGCATGCTACTTAACCCTGCAGATACATCATATGAAGTTTGTCAGTTGTACAGACAGATTCAAATGAAAGTGATTTGATTAGATAACAAACTGAAAAAAAAATTTCTGTGTTTTTTATTGGTTCATTTTAGGTATAAAGAGGAAGAATATAAAAGTGGACTTTCTGCTCTAGATCATATAAGGCACTTCACAGATAGTCTCAAAATGAGGAAAATGGAAGATAATCAATATTCTGAAGCTGAGCTGTCTTCTTTTAGTACTTCCCATGTGCCAGAGGAACTGAAGCAGCCATTACACAGAAAGTCCAAATCGCAGGTACAGATTTTCCCATAGTACAGCATCATGGTTACATTATGCATGAAACCTACATTTCCTTTGATTACCAATAAGGAAATATTCTATCTTTGAAATATTTTAGAATCCAAATAGGGTCGGATGCTTTTCTAAAAATGTTCATATCTTTACTGTGTTTATGACCAAATCCAAAATAGTTAAGCAAGAAAGCAATTAATTTAGCTGCATTCTGCATAGAAATTTTATGACAAACCCCATCCTACACTCATCTTTCCTTGACTTTGTAATTCTCTTACTTCTGTACAGTTAGTTCATCATGTTTGTTTGCAAATGTTTATGTGTTACCTCAGAGTCATTTTCCATGTCTATACTTTCGTCAACGTAATTATATATTAAGATTTTTCTGAAAAGTGAATTCTATTTTTTGTCCCCTTCTGTCTAGTAAATTGTTAGGTGTAGTTAATTAGTAAGTCATCTCATGTTGTAATTTAATAGTAAAATGAGGATCAGAAATGAAGTGAGTTGCCAAAGGTCTACACCAACTTATTGGCAGATTTGGAAATAAAACCGGTCAATTTTAAATTCAATGGATGAATGAGTGAATGAATGGTACTCAGATTTATTAGGCTGTACAGCATTGTATCAGCACTATGATAACTAAAAATAAATCCATTAAAGGTTCCATAAATAGCAATTAAAAGAGCCTCAGTGTTTTTGTTACAAAATAAAGGAAGTCAGTACTTTTTGTTGGACATCCACACTCAACCAGGTTGTTCATTTAGGTCAATTAAACTTAAAGAAACTTCCTATTGCCATATTTATTGGGCACTGTGGTCTAATTGCCTGATCCATTAGTTCATTCTGTAGGTGGCCTGAATGAGACCATATTAGTTTGTTCATTTGGAAATGATTTTCTGTTTGGGTAAGATGTCTGGGCTGGTCTTAACAGCAAATGTAGTAATATCCTAAGGAAGGTGGGAAAAACATTGTGTCAATGGGATAATACAAATCATTAAATAATACTCAATTTTGTAAAAAGTTCTGAGATATTATGTATGGTAATAGGCAAAATAAATGTTCTTTCTCAATTGAAGTCAAAGCAGCCAGCATCTACAGAGGCTCCTGGAGCCTACCTCCATGAACTTGAGAACATCACTTAAAGACTATAGGTACCATTTCCTCATTGTAAAAGGGGTAAGTGGATTTTTATTCAATGGGGATAAAAATTAAGTTTTCAGTTTTTAACATTAAAGGTAAACTAGCTAGAGTAGACATTTCATTTTTACGTAGAGACATCCATAAGCAGTGGCTAGTTTTTTTTAACCCTTGATTTCCCATTCTTCTATCCTTGTTGATTAGAGATAGCCGGAGTATTCAGGTTTTTGGTTTTTTGTTACTTGTTTCTTTGTTTGTTTTTGAGACAGGGTCTCACTCAGCTGCTAAGACTGGAGTGCAGTGGTACAATCACGGCTCACCATAGCCTCGACTTGCTGGGCTCAAGTGATCCTCCCACCTCAGGCATCTGGATAACCGGGACTATAGACACTCACCACCATGCCGGGCTAATTTTTCAATTTTGTGTAGAGATGGGGTTTCACTGTGTTGCCCAGGCTGCTCTCAAATTCCTGAGCTCAAGCAGTCCTCCCACCTCAGCCTCCCAATTACTGGGATTTGTATAGGTGTGACCCATTGCACCTGGACATGGTTTTTTCTTTTTAAATTTCTTTTAATTAGTTCACCAAAAATGCTTCTCATTTATTATAAGATATAATACCTAAAAACTCCAGAAACGGCCAGAAGTGATAGAAGGCAAAAGGGCCTGAAAACCTAGAGATAAGGGATATAATTATAATACATTTTAGTACCAGCATTTTGACATAAAGTCCCTGCCCAGCTGGGTTGTTACCATTATAAGAAATACTAGCATTTTGCAATCTTAAGTCATATTTTTCTTGTTACTTGATCCCGTTATACAGGTAAGTTTGAAAATGGTCAGGCCTTTTTGCAAATTCACTTTATTTCATAATACCATTCATTCATTCATTTATTAACTACCAGCTATATGCTGGGCACTGATCCTTATCTATGAAAATGTTTATTTCCTTTGATTACCAAAAGGCAGATATGCTGTTTTGCCATTTTCTAGAATCTAAAGGCTCAGATTCTTTACTCAAAGCATTCATATATTTATTCTGTAATTTTTATAGTGATTGAATTGAAAATAGTTGACCAGTACAACAGTAGCTGCATTTTGCATGTGCTCTTCCTCAAGAAACTCTTTATCATGTAAAAATCAATTTCATGAATAGGTAATATTTATGTATTACCTCAGTCAGGCACACTGAGCTAAACACTTTATGTAAGTTAGTGCATGTGATTCCTCCACAACTCTTGGAGGCCAGTGCTGTTATTACTATCATCTGTTTTATAGGAGGAAAGTAAAGCTTAAAAGATTAAGCAACTTGCTCAAGGTCACACAGCTAGGTGAGTAGAGGCAGGTTTAAAGCCAGGATTAAAACTTAAAATTCCAAAATTTTGTCTATACTCCCTTTTGTCTTCCCAAATATCAGAATTTAACTCTTTCAGAATATTCTTTATCTTTTTCTCTAAAAGTAGGTACATAATCAGAATAGATAATTTAGGTTCAATGCTCACTTAACCCATACTTTAACTCTGCCAAAGATAAGTACTCTATATTATTTATTCTTAATTCCTTAGGATCTAACACAGAGCCTGGCATAGAGTAGATGCTTAAGAAATATTTGTTAAATGGATCATGAGATATCGTAGAGGTCCAAAAGGTAAACTGCATACATAAAAGTCAAATGTGTACATTTAGAGCGATGACCCAGCAAATCAAAATCAGCCTGCAAGGGCAGATTTTCTAACTGAATGCAGTGATTACGGAAGAAACCACAGAGTGGCCACATGTCTCAGCATGACTCCCAGAGATGAAATTCTGCCTAACAACAGAGGCATTTTGTCTTTGTTTACAGACAGTGGAATGTCTTTGGCAGGACTTTAATGATTCCACTTCAGCAGCATTTTGACAAGCAAGTTTAGCAGTGGATGAGACCAACAATAGCGAATCAACAGTGAAAAGTTCACTCACAAGTCAAGACCAAACATTCCATTTGAATATTTTGCTTGGCAGCAAATGGGGGATTCTCTGAACAGTTATTTAAAATTTGACATGATAATAGGGAAGAAAGAGCACTTCCTCACAGAGCACCTCCATGCAGCTTCTGCTCAGCAGACATTGGAAAACAAGTTGATTAGAACATTGTTGGGTCGTGTGTTTGGTTGTATTTTTTTTGGTAGAGCTGATTTGATCCACCTCAACTTGTGGGTGTCAGTACTGAGTATGTCAAGCATGGAGGGAAACTGGAGAAAAGACACTGGATTAAAAGTTGGGCAGAAATACATTTTAGTTATGCTTCTCCCAGTATGTATCTAATTGAGTGACTTTGGGCAAGTCACTCAAGCACCTTCAGTGCTTTCGGTTATAAAGTGTAGGAGTCAGGCTGTATCCTCTACTAGGCCACAGCTCTGTCAAGGTAGGTCTGTGGATAGAGACCTATTAATATTTGTGGTTTCAGTCATAAGCACACAATCATATTTTTGGTGAATTGAACATATGTAGTGGATGGATGACTGTATTTGCAGTTGAACAGGAGACCAACTCATCTTTCTCAAAGGAGGCACTATTTACATTTTAGGCAGGATAGTTCTTTTTGGTTCTGTACAGTGTGTCACTTTTGGGGTCTCCTAGGCACTAAAGGCCAGCAGTAATCCCGTGTGATTTCTACGAAAAAATATGCCTCCTTTGCCAAACACACCCATGAAGGATGCCCCTACTCAGGGTCCCATCTCTTTCCATTTTACCCACAATATTCTTTGAACTAAAAGTGATGTTTTTCAAATGCCGTTTACTAAATCTCTCTCCTTTTTACCCCAGGCATATGCTATGATGTTGTCATTGTCTGACAAGGAGTCCCTCCATTCTACATCCCACAGTTCTTCCAACGTGTGGCACAGTATGGCCAGGGCTGCGGCGGAATCCAGTGCTATCCAGTCCATAAGCCACGTATGACGTTTTCAAGGTTGACCAGAGTGGGACCAAGTCCAACAAGTAGCATGGCTCTTTCATATAGGACTATTTACAAGACTGCTGAGCAGAATGCCTTATAAACCTGCAGGGTCACTCATCTAAAGTCTAGTGACCTTAAACTGAATGATTTAAAAAAGAAAAGAAAGAAAAAGAAGAAACTATTTATTCTCGATATTTTGTTTTGCACAGCAAAGGCAGCTGCTGACTTCTGGAAGATCAATCAATGCGACTTAAAGTGATTCAATGAAAACAAAAAACTTGCTGGGCTGAAGGCATCTTCCAGTTTACCCCACCTTAGGGTATGGGTGGGTGAGAAGGGCAGTTGAGATGGCAGCATTGATACAAATGAACACTCCATAGAAACTGAATTCTCTTTTGTACAAGATCACCTGACATGATTGGGAACAGTTGCTTTTAATTACAGATTTAATTTTTTTTCTTTGTTAAAGTTTTATGTAATTTAACCCTTTGAAGACAGAAGTAGTTGGATGAAATGCACAGTCAATATAGAAACTGATAACAGGGAGTACTTGTTCCCCCTTTTGCCTTCTTAAGTACATTGGTTAAAACTAGGGAAAAAGGTTATGTGTATATTGTAAACTATGGATGTTCACACTCAAAGAGGTTAAGTCAGTGAAGTAACCTATTCATCACCAGTATCGCTGTACCACTAATAAATTGTTTGCCAAATCCTTGTAATAACATCTTAATTTTAGACAATCATGTCACTGTTTTTTAATGTTTATTTTTGTGTGTGTGTTGCGTGTATCATGTATTTATTTGTTGGCAAACTATTGTTTGTTGATTAAAATAGCACTGTTCCAGTCAGCCACTACTTTATGACGTCTGAGGCACACCCCTTTCTGAATTTCAAGGACCAAGGTGACCCGACCTGTGTATGAGAGTGCCAAATGGTGTTTGGCTTTTCTTAACATTCCTTTTTTGTTTGTTTGTTTTGTTTTCCTTCTTAATGAACTAAATACGAATAGATGCAACTTAGTTTTTGTAATACTGAAATTGATTCAATTGTATAAACGATTATAATTTCTTTCATGGAAGCATGATTCTTCTGATTAAAAACTGTACTCCATATTTTATGCTGGTTGTCTGCAAGCTTGTGCGATGTTATGTTCATGTTAATCCTATTTGTAAAATGAAGTGTTCCCAACCTTATGTTAAAAGAGAGAAGTAAATAACAGACTGTATTCAGTTATTTTGCCCTTTATTGAGGAACCAGATTTGTTTTCTTTTTGTTTGTAATCTCATTTTGAAATAATCGGCAAGTTGAGGTACTTTCTTCAAATGCTTTGTACAATATAAACTGTTATGCCTTTCAGTGCATTACTATGGGAGGAGCAACTAAAAAATAAAGACTTACAAAAAGGAGTATTTTTCCCCTCTGTGTGGTATTTTTCCTTCATGCAATTTTACTTTCCCTTTGGGATCCAATGATTTAAAGATATGATGGCTGGGATCTTGATGCCCTACAGATATGCGGAATGTAGAGCATGTTTGTTTTGTTTTGAGATAGCATAAGTGATAGTTCTTGGGCAACAGTGAGTCTCGCTCATTGCTCTGAACTTTCCCCATGTGGTGCAGTCAGGGCTCAATGCACCACAACCCAGTCCTGGTATCACTTCATGTTCACAGCATCCACTTAAATTAGGACAAAGAGCGACTTACAGGTTTTCTACAGATTGTATGCCAAAAGGAACTCAGTTTCTTATTTTTGTTTTTCATTATGCAAGTAGTGTTAACTGATTCACAAAGGGGGCGAGGGGGAACCTTTGACTTTTCTATGCTGCTTTTAAGTTTTTGTCCACATGCAAAATATCCTTTTTTCATTGTTATAACAGAATATAAACATGATTTGTTTTTTCTTTCTTGTGTCAAAAAAAAAAATTATACTGCATAGTGCTACAAATTCTTCAAAATAATAATGTAGCAGTTTCCCAATATTCCATCATTTGATCTACTATAATTTCCTCCAACACTTTAATCTTGTTGAAGATTTTTCTGCTATTTGCTAGTCAGCAATTATATTTTAATTTTCAAGCATATAATTGTTTCTGTGTGTTCATATATGTATATACAGAGTTGGAATGTGAGTGGTAGTACTTCCATAAGATAAATTCTCTGCTGGGGGAGCAATTATTTATTTTTTTGCTCTTTAAGCATAATGCCAAATTGTTTTAGAGTAGACTTATTCCAATTTTGGCTGATTGTAGAGATTTAACAAGGCCTGAATAAATTAGTATGGCATGTAGAAATAGATCCAGACCAATTTTTTCATTTATTTGTTTATTCATTCTTAGCCACAATATCAGATACATAGACAATCTCCTTGTATCCTTTCTAAATGTGGGTAGAATAAGAATTAAATATATAGGGTATGTTTATTGATTTTTTTGCAGAAAGTATGCACAGGAAGTCTTCAGAAAATATATTTAAGCTATAAATCCATTAACTAAGGCAAATAAGAATTTAGTATTTACGACATAATAATGGCATATGTAAGAAAAGTGAAATCTGGAATATGCAGGGCATTTTTCATTGTTTTAAAGAATGTACCAGGCTGGGTGTGGTGGCTCATGCCTGTAATCCCAGCACTGTGGGGAGCTGAGCCAGGAAGATCACTTGAGCCCAGAAGTTCCAGACTAGCCTGGGCAACATGGCCTAGCCCCGTCTCTACAAAAAATACAAAAATTAGCCAGGAGTGGTGGTGCAGGCCTGTAGTCTCTGCTACTTGGGAGAGGCTGAGAGGTGGGAGGATCACTTGAGGCTGGGAGACGGAAGCTGCAGGAGTGTACCACTGCACTTCAACCTGGGTGACAGGCTTGTCTTAAATATATATACAAATTCTGAAGCAGTTCAAGTATTCCCAATGCAACTGGCTTCTTGTTAGACTTTGAGCATAAACTTTCAGTTGTTTGCTAATACTTGGTTCCTCCAAATTCCAAAAAGGCATTCAACCTTACATTTCTGCTTGTTTCCTCCATTTATTTAGCCAGTAGCCCTTCACCATAAGGCCCTGAAGAGGGACAGTGAGATTTGGTGGAGACAATCTTGGACTTGGAAACTGAAGGCCTGGGTCTGAGTTCTGGCTTCAGGGTCTTGGGAAAGTCATATATCTCCCATTCCATCTATGAAACAACAGTAATAATAACTGCAGCGCCTACTAATTCACTGGGTTTCTGTGAATGTCAACAATCAAAATAACTTTTGGAAAATATTTGGTAAAAGTTCTATAAATACAAAACATTTTATAATTTTCATGCTAACAGTCAAAGGAATAGAAAATATGTGTGTGTATACACACTAAGTTACGAGAAGAAATTTATAATACAACAGAAATCTAAACTTAAAAAAACTGGATATGGAAGTTTAGGGAAAAGTTAGATATTTCTTGAAAAAATATGTAGGTTTAAAAAATAACACAAGCTGAGCTGTTTTAAAACATGAGATGCCCAGAATTATTGTTTATTTCTTTTTTCTTTTTCTTTTTTTTTTTTTTTTTTTTTTGAGACAGAATCTCCCCTTTGTCCCCCAGGCTGGATCGCAGTGGTGCAATCTCAGCTCACTGCAACCTCTGCCTCTAGGGTATAAGGGATTCTCTCACCTCAGCCTCCAGAGTAGCTGGGATTACAGGCACGCGCCACCATGCATGGCTAATTGTTTTTGTATTTTTGGTAGAGATGGCTTTTCATTATGTTGGCCAGGCTGGTCTCTAACTCCTGGCCTCCAGTGGTCCACCCACCTCGGCCTCCCACAGTGCTGGGATTACAAGCACGAGCCACCGCTCCCGCTCGTTTTTTGAATTGACAAATAAAAATTGCACATATTTGTGATATATAACAGGATATTTTGATATATGTATGCATTGTGGAATGACTAAACAAGCTAATTAACATATGCATTACCTTGCTTTGTGTGTGTGTGTGTGTGAGGAAAGCACGTATAATCTATCCTCTTAAAAATTTTCAAGTAATCAAAATATTGTTATTAATTATAGTCACCATGATGTATAATAGATCTGTCGAACTTTTTTTTTCAGTATAATTTTTGAGGACTCTCAAAAAAATTCAAGAAAAGGTAAGAACACACATTCAAAGAGTAGGCACATTCATAATTTTATTTTTAAATAATGACCAGCTACCAATATTAATTTCCATAAAGAATAAAGAAAATTATTTATTCATTTTTAAACTGACTGTTATGTTGATAGCACGCTGGAAATGTGTATATTCATTACTGCAACTAATCTTCACAATAGGCCTACAAATCGGTAGTCTTATTCCTGTTTTATGGATGAGGAAAACTGGAGCTCAGAAAATTTAAGAACCTTACTCCGAGGAACCCAGCTGACTGCCTGGGAATCCAGGAGCGCTGACTCCTTAGCCCACACTTAGCTGAGAGTCTCAGACCTCCTGATTCAGGCACAGCTGAAGTAAAGCCAAAATGGGGCCGGGCACGGTGGCTCACGCCTGTAATCCCAGGACTTTGGGAGGCTGAGGTGGGTGGATCACGAGGTCAGCAGATCGAGACCATCCTCGTTAACACGGTGAAACCCCGTCTTTACTGAAAATACAAAAAATTAGCCGGACGTGGTGGTGGGCGCCTGTAGTCCCAGCTACTAGGGAGGCTGAGGCAGGAGAATGGCGTGAACCCGGGAGGCGGAGCTCGCAGTGAGGCAAGATGGCGCCACTGCCCTCCAGCCTGGGCGACAGAGCAAGACTCCATCTCAAAAAAAAAAAAAAAAAAAAAAAAAGTAGGCCAAAATTGAATATTCCAAAGCTGAGGAAATGTGCACCCCTCCAACCCCCACAGTGAGGCTGTCGGGATGCAAATGTGCCCAGGAGCCATTTAGGCGTCTGAGTTTTGGCTGTGAAGGTTTTGAAAGGTGAGTGCCAACGACTGATTCCCAGGCTTTTTAAATTCAGGTTATCTCAAGTCAGAACCAACAACAGCAGTGCTTTTGAAAGATTCTAAATGTTTCCTTAATAAGAGCCTTATTTACCTTGTTTGCAAATTCCTAGCAGGTGGCTTAAGTTTCCTCTTTATTCTTTTTGGAAAAACAGAGTTATACAAAACCTACATTTTGGATTTATTAACGCGGAAAGACTTAAGCCCTTTCTAAAACGATTAGCAGACCCATCAGGAGAGAAAGCAAGTGCAGCTAAGAAGTGTTCTCATTTCATTTTCTCCAGGTTTAAAGAGACTGTTAATGAATGGAAGGAATGCAGAGAGAAGTGGCAAGAATGGAAGAAACTTACCAAACAAATTGGATCCAGGAGCCTGAATAGACTTTAGTGAACTGGCTAGCTCTTCCCCAAGAGAACTGGGTTAGTATTGAATTGTTCCTTATATTCCACATAACCATTTGTCAGTACAAGAGGCTGTCCTTGGTGCAACATGTATTTCAAAAGAGAAGAGAACTACCTTGCATCCATTAGAATGTAGGATGACTAATATTTTTAAAAAATCACTGGTGAGAGTGTGGAAAAATTGGAACCCTTTGTATTCTTGGTGGGAATATAAAATTGTGCAGCCACTATAGGGAATAGTATAGTGGTTCTTACAAAAAGTTGTGATTCCACTTATGGATGTACTCTCAAAAGAGTTAGAAGCAGGGGCTCTAAGAGATATTTGTACACTCATGTTCATAGCAGCATTATTCACAGTAGTGAAAAGGTGGAAGCAACCCTAGTGTCCATCAATGGACAAATGGATAAACAAAATGCGGTATATACATACAATGGGATATTATTCAGCTTCAAAAATAAGGGAAATTCTGACACATGATATCACTTGGATAAACCTTGAAAACATCATGCTAAGTGAAATAAGCCAGTCACAAAAAGACAAATAATGCCACTGGGCGTGGTGGCTCACGCCTATAATCCCGGCACTTTGGGAGGTCGAGGCGGGTGGATCACTTGAGGTCAGATTTCAAGACCATCCTGACCAACATGGTGAAACTCTGTCTCTACTAAAAATACAAAAATTAGCCGGGCATGGTGGCACACAGCTGTAGTCCCGGGTCCTCAGGAGGCTGAGGCAAGAGAATCGCTTGAACACAAGAGGCAGAGGTTGCAGTGACCTGAGATTGTGCCACTACACTCCAGCCTAGGTGACAGAGCAAGACTTTGTCTCAAAAAACAAGACAAGACAAAGCAACAAATAATGTATGATTGCACTTATCAGGCACCTAGAGTAGTCAATTCATAGGAAAGTAGAATGGTGGTTGCCAGGGGCTGGTGGAGGTGGGGAATGGGAAGTTGTAAATGAGTATAGAATTTCAGTTTTGCAAGATGAAAAGAGTTCTGGAGATTGGTTACACAACATTGTGAATGTACTTACTACTACTGAACTGTGCATTTAAAATTTTAAGATG